GTAGTGGCAGTAAAGGAAAACTAGCTCGGGCCACAGGTTGGCTTCCTCGCACGCACGAATCATCTTGGGGATGTTAATTCGGGTCCAGAACAACTTGAGGTGCTCCATCACACGGTCTGGATGGTATTTCGACAGGGCAATTCCTAGCTCAGTGAACATACCCATGTGCGCTCTCTCAAGACCAAGACCAGCCTCAAGCAGAGCAATGAGTTCGTCGAAGTAGCCGTTACGCTCATACTGCCGGACCAGGTCCTGCAGCTCCTCAGCATGCACGATCAGGTTCAAACCGCAAATTTGAGCAAGGCGGAATTCTTTCTTGGCAACGCAGGCTGCGTTAACCTCCTTCCAGACCTTGACGCTGTTGCCCTTGCGAGCACACTCAACAGCAGCTTGGTAGTCCTCGAGATGGACAAGTGTAGTTGCAAGCTTTGCCCAGTTGGAGATGCTGGTGAAGAATATCTTTGCAGCTTGGTGGTATCCCTCGGCATAGGCCTTGTCACCAGAAGCTTCAACATCAGCAACATTGATTCCACGGAGGAAATCGTCAAGCTCGGAGAGCTTGTCGAGTCTTGCAAAGCTAAAGGCCATGGCAGTATCGACGGCAGGCTCTCGAAGAGTCTTGCGGGCCATCTTAAGATATTCAAGGAGGTCCTCATCCTTGCCAGCATGGGTAGCGGTTTCGATAACTTCATTGTAGTTCGAAGGGTCTCCGGCACGAATGTATGAAGCGATAGAATCGGAGATGCGAAGGCCATCCAATTGAGCTTTGGCAACCTTGCTCCATACTTCGGGAAGCTCAACACGCTCAGCATAGTCTTGAGCACGGTCAATGCTGACAATGTGCTCCACGAGAACATTGGTGGCAGCAGGATGGTTCTCAACCTTCTTATAGATTTCGAAGGCTTCTTCGTACAGGCCAACGGACAGACACATCCCCGCAATCTCATCAGCATTGAATTCCGTAAGCTTGTGGATGTAATCCATCAGCTTGCTCTTATCAGCCTTAGCAGCAGTGAGCATGAGCAAGTTCTGCAAGCTGCTGTTGTCACTGAATGGAGATGGCTCGAGGATGATCTTCTCCAGCAACTCGATGAGTTCCGTCGGCAGGTCTGCTTCAAGGAAGGCCTTGACTGCTACTGACACCTTGTCTGGCTCAGAAGACTCTGGGACGGCAGTGGCAATAACTTGGTCAACAAGGGACCGTCTGTGAATGTTGTTTCCGTTCAAAACAAAGGCCCAAATTTCACTATCAGCTCGCTCAAGCAAATACCTAGCTTGCGCACGATACATGGAGTTGTCGTTGGTGATGTTGATAAGCTCAAGATCATTCTGGCCTTTGCGGTATGCAATATAGGCAAGATTAGGGTCTCGTTTCTCACAGTACTTTCCGACAGTTAGAGTATCATAGAGGTCGTTTTCCTTGAGGAACTTCTCGGGGTTGTTGTTGCTGTCAATGTAAATCTTGGCCAAGGCATTGTAGACCGCTTGCTGTTGGTTACCTGTGCTGAGAGTGTTCTCTAGGAATGGCAAAAGAATCTTGAGTCTGTTTCTCTTCTCTACCTCGGCGACAAGCTCATCGATTGGGATAGAAGCTGGGTCAACAGTAGTGAGAAGGTTCTTGATAATAGACTCCTCACAATCCACGTCAAGCAGGCCACCGACAACAGCGGGAGTTCTTGATGGGTTGACCCTCTGAACGTAAACCTCGATCGAAGAGTACTGCTGGTTCTGGTACAGATACAGAACTAGATCGTGGACAAAGTTGAATCGATCGCAAACAGTAATCAAAGGAAGTTGTTCAGCAAGCTTGGCCTCCTTGAGGAAATTCTTGACTTTCTCAGGGTTGTAGTAGTTGCTGTCGCGGCAGATACGCTCGACTTCTGTCATCTGGCCCATGCGAGTAGCGGCCTCTATATACTTAAAGTGAACATCGGCATCCTCACTAAGGTTGACGATGCTGCCAAGGTAGTAGTAGAGACCCTCGGCAGTTCGGTATTTCTCAAGCAATTGGATGAGGTTGGTAGGTCCCAAAAGGTCCGAAAATTTGGTAGCGATTTGAACGACAGCTTGAAGATTTTGTCGGAGATTTGAGTGAAGCATCTCGTTCATACATTCCAGGGACTGTTCCACTGAAAGGCGGCCAAAGAATTCTATCAACCATTCGGGGTTCAGTTTGTCGGTGCGGACAATGTTGCGCATGATGACTGTTGAATCATCAGTGTTCTCGAGCGCACGCTGGTAGAGACCTGCGTTCTCGCAGAGTTGCGAGATCCTAGCCTTGTCGTAGTGGGTGAACATCTCGTTACCCAGGATAGCATCAGCGACCTGAGGAGCGTTGACAAGGTTCATCTCTAGCAGCCTAGTCTGAAGCTTAGCATGCTCAGGCTTGTTGTCCTTGAGAGCATCCAACAAAAATGCAGTAGCTTGCTGGATCATGTTTTGAGAAACGAAGACGTCGACAACACGGTCAAGATCAACGAGGGCACCGCTGTCATCGTTGGCAAGCTGGCCAGCAAACTCTGCACACTTCTCTGGGTTGACCCGGACAATATGCTGTAGAAGCTGGACATAGTCAGGTTGATAGCCGACTTGCTTGGAGTAAGCCAGGATCTTGTCGAATTGACCAGTCTCTGCGAATCCAGCAACGACCTTGTGGGGAACATTGGCCTTGAGGTAGATGTTCAGAGCAATGTTCATGTCATGTGGCCGAACGATGTCACCTAGCTCCTCGGAGCACTCCAGCTTATCCTCGCCGAGCCACTTCTCAAGGAGATGTTTTCGGTTTTGTTGCAAGACAGGTCTGGTCAACTCAACGCTCTCGTATACGTTTAGAGATCCCTTGTCAAGAAGCATTCCGAAATATTGGAGAATGACAGACATGCCCTGACCTGACTGTGAGACAGCCTTTAGGCGGTTGATAGTGTCTGCAGTTCGCAGGAACCCACGGGGCGAATTGGCGGCGATTTTGGCAGCCTCTGCATAGTTTCCTTGAGATAGGAGCTGCTCAAACTGTCTCTGAAGAAGATTATCTGCACCCGGAAGGCCAGCCTTGGATGCAAGCTTGACAGCCAGAGATGTGTTTGCTGGGTTTTCAAGGAGGTATGGAATGATGGTGCCTTCGTCCACACTGACGGAGAGGACCTGGCCCTTACGGTTGACACCGACAATACCAGTAGAATCTGAGTTTGGTGTGGTAACGAAGATGGTTTCGCTGGATATGCGGTTCATGAAGATGCATGTACCAGTCTCAAGGTCATAGAGGTGGATGAAGCCGAACTTGGTGATAAGATAGACAACGTCGTATTTCTCAGAAACCTGCATGGCAACTGGAAAGTCATTGGTAGCCTCCTGTGGGAAGTAAACCTCAACAGCCTTCTTCTGGAACTTAGGGTTGGGCTCCTGGTGATCGATCTCTGCAATCTGAAGTTTGGCACCGGTTGCGGTTCTGACAGCGAAGGTGAAGAGTTTATGAGGTAAGGGTGATCCGTCGACCTTGATGGTAGCAAAGGCGGCGGCATGACCTTCGATGTGTTGAGATATGCCTCGTTCAACCGAATGGAGCTGCATTGTTCCTACTATCCGTCCTTGCTGTTGACTAATACCAACAACCACCATCCACTTTTCCTCCTCATTAACACGATAGCTAATAATTTGGCAGCTCTATCCAATTGATTAGTTGCATTTTCCTTTTTCGATTATAGTGAAAAATAAGACCACAATACTAATAAAGGGTACGAAAGAGGTAAAACGCACCGCCAGGTTTGCAATCCGGTCGAACATCTTAAGAGGAGCATGCTGAGTCGGGTCAAAAACGTTCCAGTGGTAAACCGAGGACTCAGTGATTAAGCCAATGCTTGTCTCACTGTACCACTTCCAGAAGACAACATCTTCAGTCATGACTGCGGACTTGAGCTTCTGCTTTGCCTGGAGGTCAAAGACCTGGATGGTCTTGCCCTGGGCCTTAAGTGCGATAATGTTCTTGTTCCAGTGCATGATCGCACTATCGGCATTAATCGGGCGCCGGATGACCTCATTGTTGTTTTTAAGATTGACTATGATAACTTGTGTCTTATCTTCATCGTTGACCTTTTGTCGTATGCAGACGAAATTATCGGATTCTAAAGTCTAAACGATTTGCAAAAGAGCTGATCAGCAATTGCGGAAGCGGAAGGGAGGCAACTGGAGAGGACTTACACATGAATTAAAGCCGATAGATGCAGGCTAGAGATAAAGACGATGAAGGAAGCTGTAATTAGCTATCATGCACAGCCACGACGCCCTCCTCCCCACATTCCAACAAGCACAATGCCCATCGACATGAGCCCAAAAGACGCAGTATCCGATGGAATATCAAGATAGCAGGCCGTAGGGGCCATATCGACTGGCTGGGGCGAGGAACTGGGAGAAGGCTTGCTTGTGTGGAAATGGTGATTGCGTACCACAATATCAACGTTCGTTAACTACGGCAACGTGTCAGTAAGAGATCAAAAGCTGCAGGCAGACAAGGCGCAGTTCCAGAAGCACTCCTGAGGCCGTCATACCTGTAAAAGCTCCGTAAACTGAATGGGAAGAGGAGCCATGATCTCGTAATGGCCGTCAAGGCAACGACCTCATCCAACCAAACCCGGAGCGCCAGCTATGCCGAAGAAGTAGGGGAGAAAAAGGAGAGTGAGAGGGAATGAAAAAGAACAGGCTGAAGGAGAGAAGAGCAGAGGTGGAAGCAAAGAGAGGCGAGTAGAAGAGAGAGCTCTCGCTGGGAGGATGTTTGTGTCTGAGGATCGCAAGCGGTTGATTGAGAGGCAAAGAGGAAGTCAAAGGAGAAGGTCGAGAAGTCGATTGGAATAAACAACCTTGCCTTTTCAGGAGTAATCACGTGATCACTTTAGTAAGCAGGCAGGTGAAGATGAAGATGTGAAGGTGATAGTGAAGGAGTTTGGCAGGGAGAATGAGGTGAATAGCAGAGGTGGATGATAAGTAGTGATGGTGGTGGTGGTGGTGGTGGTGAGGCTGAAGCAAGAGGAAAGCTGGGCTGACTCGTCTCGATGAGTGTTGATAACTAGTTGATTACCACGAAGCAGAGAGGTAGCAGAGTGATATCTGATATTCTGCCCTTAATATTCTTAAATTGGCCTATTGCACTCGAATAAATATCTAAATAGTCTGTGGGCACTCACTAGTTAATTACTTAGTGTATCAATTGATGAAGATACAGGCAACCGAGTATCAGATCTAACTACTTCAACGCCCACAGCTTTAGTTAAATAGTAGCTACAGCTTATTTGCAGTAATCGACTGCAATTGAGCACTGACAAAATAATCATAAATATAGCACCAACATCAACCTCGAACATACCGAGTAGGTACACCAATACGTATTATGTATAATGGACTTCTGCTCCGCTATCTTCCATCCACCTCCCACACTAAACAAATATCACCCACGTGACCAAAATTTACGCATAAAATCTCGACTTCAACTTTTTCTTCTTCTTTTCTTCTCTTCTTTTTCTCTCCATGAACAACGCAAATAAATCACATTCCATCAAAATGTTCTGCAAAAGTTCTTTCGGGGATTCATGATGCCAGGACGTTCAAGTTACATGACCTATGTTTCTTGGGAATGGAGAAGGAAGCAAGATTCGGTCTTGGGTGCAGTGCCATCCGTTTCATGGATGGGATTGCAATGATTGAACCTACAGTTTCGGCCCTTTTACGAGGAAGTTATTTGACATAATTGAGAGTGAGGAGATTTCGGGGGTTATTTATTACAGAATTACATATCGATTCTACCTTGTTTATACAATTAACCGGCCGTTTCACCACTTCATTTCCGTTTCCATACAAGCCACGTCCTGAGTAGAAAAAAAAAGCGAGAGAGAGAGAAGAAAATCATTGCTAAACAAGAGGGTATCCATTAACGTCATGCGCTTCCTTTATTTCCCTTGAAAAAGCCAGAAGGTCGTTTCGTTGTTGCTGTGTTCGAAACAGAAGTAAAGCGAGACAATCATTGTCTCTCACTATGCGAGTTTGCGCCCAATGTTGCCGAAGCAAACACAGCTGCAGAAGAGGACGCTGGCAATCCATGTTCCGACTGCGAGCTGGCCCTGTGAGAGAGTCAGGCCAGCTATTCCGAATACAGTCTCATCTACGGCATCGGTGGCGTTGCTGGGGGAAAAGATTATGTCGGGGTTCATCTCCAGTAGGGCCATCATGCCTATCAGTCCGATTGCCGTAGAGAGTACGAAGCCAGACTTGGAGCGGTCGATAAGGTACCAGAGGAACGGGTTCACAAGCGCAAGTGTCAAACAGACCTGAGTCGATGACTGCCATGGTAGTTTTCGCTAGAAACAAGCAAACACATATTAGTTTAGGAGCTTATATTCTCTCACGGGCGGGGGAATAAATCTTACAATGGCGAAAGCAACTCCTACAAAGGCACCGATGCTGCGCACCATTGGGTTCCAGCCAGCTTCACTGCTTCCCTTGACGGGGTTCTCTCCCATAACGTCCTCCCACATAAGATCGAACCAAGGCAGCAGGTTTCCCAGCGCAACACCGGCCACTCCCCAGAACACTAGGTAATGCCACCACTCTAAGCCAAAGTTGATGATTTCCACTCGCACGGGGATGTGCAGCGGCAACAGGGCCGCCATCTGCGGACTATCGTGTAGATGCATAATAATGACACCAAATGTCACACCGAACAGGAAGAGCAGTCCGCTCTGTTGCAAGGCAGGCAGCAAATAACCACGGACAAGCCCGCGCTGCCTACGACGCACTTCATTCTGCCGTTGTCGGTCTTGCTCCTGCTTGTGAAGTTTCTTCTTCCTCTGCTCTTCGGAAAACCCGTTCACAGCACCGTTTCCACTTGCCTTTCCACCATTGCCGTTCTCAAATATGCCTGACCCTCGTAGATTAGGCGTCTGCGCACCAGTTCCCCACGGAGTTGTCCCGGGGATGTCTCTATCTTCTCGGCCGCCGTCGAACGCAGTAGGCGAGTAGATTCCCAGCAGTGTAGAGGAGGTCAAGTTGATATCTGATTTTGTTCGGCTGGACGGCGCTAATCCCTCCTTGTCCATCGCAGCAGTCAAGCTGCCGTTACCGTTGTTGTTGCCATTACTATTTCCCGGAAATATCTCCTTGTTGGCGTCTTCTGGCGTCGGGGTCGGGGGAGCCGTGGAATCAGCCGAGGGGAGCTCAAAGGGCTTTCTCGCCCGCGGCCGCAGCACTCGACCTTCGCTTTCCATTATAACCCGGTTTCGTTTGGTGTCAGCTCTGTCAACAAACACGTTAGCTGCAGCTCAAGGGCCTCTTTTATACCAGAGAAACAACAACTCAGCCAACGTGAGCTGACGGCGGCAAAAGTGTCAACGGCTCAACGAAGGAGTTCCCCGTATCCGCAATTTTGTAGTCATGTGCGGCCCAGGGGCAAGAAGCTGATCAGCAGCTCACTTAGTCAGCCAAGTTAGCAGGAGAGCGTACCGTGAGATAGCAGCAAAAAGATTGAGTGTAAGAGAATACAACAAGGAGCTGGAGGAGCAGAAGAAGCTAAAGATCGCTGGGGAAGAGAAGAAGACATCAGCTTGCGTGCTGCCTGCGCCGATGTTTTTATTTCCTCCCGTTGCTTTTTTTTTTTTTTTTTTTTTTTTTTTTTTTTTGGCTCCAAAGAAGAAAGCTAGAGTTGCCGATGTCACATGTTTTACTCCTTTTTCTGGCGCCACCAAAAGGACTGCTTGAACTTTCGTTGTATAAAAGTATGAAAACACCGAGCAAGACGTGAAGATAGTTGCCACCGGCAGAGCTGAAGTGGCTGCAGGCTGTTGGATGGCAGGCTGGTCATGCCGTGGCCTCGGGGGCGACAGACGAATACCTCATCAGCAGGCCTCTCTCGTCTACGGGATAAGGGGGTGAGCTATACATCTCTGATACAGCCATTTAAGACAATGTACGACGTCACACAGAGAGACAAGAGACGGGGTTTGGCTGCGGGGGATGATACAAGAGGCCCTGCTGGTACCCCTGGATGGATCGTGGATGAGCATTTTCTGGGACCAGATAGTATACATCTTGAATTATATATTGGTAGGTAGATACAAACTCCTCGATAAACGTCGGTGGTCAAAAATGAAATCTGGATATGCCCATAAGCCTGTCACTTCTCCTGCTCCCTCCCTATAATACCACAGAAATAAATATAAATGTACAATCACCCTCCGAAACCCGGGTCAGAAACAGAAGAAAATAGCACAAAAGGTAGAAAGAGTGGTAATAATGGAGAGACAAGACCTCTCGCTCTGATTCCAGGTGCGGATTCCAAAAAGTACCGTGTTAAACGTTCAGGTTCCATGTCTAGTCCTGGGTCATAATCTCGTCCCCATCCGCATCTATGTTCTGCTCCTGATCAGGCCTGTGGCCAGGCTCTTCCGTATAGCTTGTAGTGTCTGGCGAGTCAGCGGCAGCTAGAGCCGTGGCAGTGACGTCCTCCTCTGTTGAGTCGTCCGAGCCAAGGTGTTGATGATCCTCATCATGGCCGTTGATGGAGGCAGGGAGGGTCTTGTCGTCTGCCATAGCAGCAATAGAAGCATCATCAGGTATGACGGATGGGGCGGCCACGGCTTCAGAACCTGGTTCCTGATCTAGGTCTGCATCAGCGTCGACGTCGGCGTCGGCGTCAGCGTCTGGAAGAGGAGACATGGAGAGTCGTGATTCGCCTTCTGCGTCATCTTCATCGCCATCGTCTCCGTAGGCACTGGCATCACCTATAATGTCCTTGTCGATATCGTCTAGTCCCTCGTCGTCGGGATCTTGATCGGGGTCTTGGTCCTGGTCCTGGTCCTGCTCTTGTTCTTGCTCCTGTTCTTGCTCATTGTCATTCTCGTCCTCATTCTCCCCGGCTTCTTTCATGCGTACGTCCCTGCCCGGTGAGCTGGGTAGTCCCAGTTCAGATCCAGCAACACTCGTACCAGTTGCATTGGCATCCTGCTTGAGCGCTAGAGCCTTTTGTGCTTCTGCCTCAGCCTTTGCAGCAGCTTTTGCTGCAAGTGCTGCCTTCGATCTGCTTGGACGAACTCTCTTGGGTGGGTCACCTGGTTTGCGCTCCGGTAACGGCTTGCGGCGAATGTATTGTCTCTTACCAGTCGAAGGGGGGGCAGCCAGTCGGTTTGGATCCGGTGTAGACAATTTATCTGCGTTATTGGCGTTTGATCTCCGGTCTCTTCTGCCTCCTCTGGATCGGCTCGAGGCTGGAGGACCGGACGGTTCAACTTCTTCGTCACCCATGCCGCCGTTGGCGTTTGCATCTCCTAGATCGAGAGCATGTTCATGCATCAATCCGTTGGGTCCAATATCCTTATCCTCCGTAGCGACAGATTGCCAATCCCATCGATGCAGGCGGCGAGCTACCTTCTTCAATACAGAGAAATAGAAGCTGCCTGCCTCTCCAAAATCTTCCTGTTGCGCATCCGGGTTCAAACACAGGCCACCTTTGCCCCAGGAATGGTCATCATCTGTGTCATAATCCACCGGTAGACACTGAAGCAGCTGGCCGGCATGAAAAAGCTGGGATCCCTGCTCCCTACGTTCGCGAGCTTTACTATATTCTTCTGCGCGGCGTTGTGCAAGGATATAGTCCACTCGCTGCCGGCGGTTTTGCTCGATAGCTAGCTGGTGTTGGGTCAGCGGTCGAGGTCGACGGGAAGATGATGGTGTCTGTCCTAGAGCAGGAGAACCGGGAGCAAACTGGTGGAGGACCGGATGACTTGAGCCAGGAGGTGCGGGAGACAACCCGTCGGCGGCCTGATCCATCTTAGTCTTTAGCACAATTCGTGTCCGCCCAGCATTACCTGAACGAGTAGTTGACGAATCTCGTTTGCGTTTATTCCGTGACCTCAGATTCTGGATGGGGGTAAGCAGCTCGTCATCGTCGTCATCCCCCGGGCGCCTACTCTGATTAAGAGGCGTGAAGAAAGTCGATTGTTTGTCCCGGCCTGGAACTGGAGTTAGCCTCGATGCGATTGTCGAAATAAACATAAGACGGTATATTTACACTTACCGCCAGGAGTACCGCTCATAGGGATATCACCCGACATCTGGTCATCACTCATAGTATTATCTACAATATCTTAGCACTGTTATAGATCACTAGCGAAGAAAAAGTATAACTCACCCTTTTTCACTCTCTTATTTCGAGAGACAACTTCGTCATCATCAAGGATTCCTATGTATCAATTAATATCATTTGTCATCCGCTTATCATAAAGTAGCGAAAAACGTACTTTTGCGTTCTTTTTGCTTTTCCTCTCCATATAGGATTTCATCTTGGGTATCAACATTCTCTGCATCAGCCTCTTCCTCTGTCAACTCTTCTAGTTGAGGAATCTTTAACGGTGAGCCATCTGTTCCCTCTCCAACAGTTCCAGGCCCAAAGGGGTTCTTCAAAGCAGCTTCATCAGAAAAGTCACTCTCCAGATAAAACCACATCAGCCAGAGGAATGCCTTGGCTCGACTCTTGCTGCTCAGGGTAGCTCGCATGACGAGGTCGAAGAAGTCGTGGGGAGAGTGGAAGTGAATCTCTGATACTTTAGGAGCATACTGAGCCAGGACGAAGATGAGGTTGACAGGGTTAGTCCGCGGAACGGGAGTCTCCCGTAGTTTGTCAAGGGTGTTCGGTTGTTCAACATCTTCCGATGCACCCTTCAATATAGATTTAAGCCGCGGTGCGTCCTGAAGCTGTTTGTACGCACTCGAGTCTTGGTGGGCTTGTAGCGAAGGGATAGAGTGATATGTTCGCAGCTGGGCACGCATTTCAGGGAAGACTATCGCAATGTTAGGCACGGACTTGGGAGTTTAGTCTGGTATACATATGAGTACTCACAGTTAAGGGTCGTATTCATCCGCCCAAAATTAACCAGCAGACAGACCATAGCCATGTTGATTGCGGCAGGCTTATCGGTGGTTAGCTTATCCTTTAGCACCTTGCTGGTCTTGCTGCTCTTTGCCATGGCATCGATATAGATATCCGCAAAGCTCAATCCGCTCTTCCCGTCTGAATGTCGAGTGAACACGGGCGTAGTATCTTCAAAGACCAAGCGCAAGAAGAGATGTTGGATATCCTTGCGCCAAAGCGGAATACCATCATCTTTTTTGAGATGGCGAATCTTGTTGCCAGAGTAGACACTGCCAATGGTCCCGTTTGTCTGTCGACGGCTACTAGCAGGCGCAGAAGTCGTGGACGACGTATTATTCGGAGCATCTGGCTTAGCATCTCGCTTCTCACGACCTTCTGCAGCAGAAAATGTGCTTTCACCCTTCGTAGGCATCGACTCAGCAAGCTTGTCCTTCTTCTCCTTCTCTTTCTCCTTGCCATTGGCCTGGCCCCGTGCATTATCTGTCTCCTTTGGTTTATCATGGCCATCCTGTTCCTGTTCCTTTTCCTTTTCCTTTTCCTCCGGATCAGGAGAACTGCCCTTGGGCGGCCAGTCCTGCCATGTACCGGCCTCTGTCCAGAAGCCCTGAAGAGGGTAGTTGGGGTCATCCGTGTAGTGTCTCTGTCTGCCACCCTTTGTACCGGGCTCTGGCTCCGAAAGACGCTTCAGACTCGTTCTGGGCAACGGGTATCGACACGCGGGAAGCGGGAAATCCTTCCTCGAGCCCGCATAGTAGCCTCCGTCAGGCTTGTCGAAATGAGTCTCCTTTTCAGGTTCGAACGCGCCTCTATCATCCGGCGAATCGCCAGCACCCGTTCCCACCTCCATCATCGCGGTCGACGGCTCCTCAGCCTGTGCCTGTGTATCCGGTTTTGACGTGGCTTGAGCCTCTGCCTGCGACTCTCCGTCTGATGCTGCTGCTGCTGCTGTTTGTTCCGGGGCTGGGGAAGGGGACACTAGAGGGCGAGGTTGAGTTATTGCTGCTGCAGCCGGCGCCGGGACAGGAGCTGCAGCCGGGCTACCCTGGCGAGACGGCGAACTGGTACTCGCCATGGTCGTTACAGGCGGACAGGCTCAGCGTCGATTCTTTTTCAGCTCGGCCTAGATTCAAAGTAGAAGAAGAAACGCTGCGGGTTGAGCGAGCAGGCGAGCCTGAAGAATGGAGAGCTGGCGAAACCTGACTAGACGACTCGAGACCAGGAAGCAGAGCTGATCATTGTTGAGTCTGCGCCGAGTCAGTCGAGCCGAGGATGCAGGAGACGGCGATGAGAGCTGGAGAAGCAGAGAATGGAAGAGTGACGGCGAAGAAACGGAGTGAAAAATAAAAAATAAAAAAAATAAAAATAAAAAAAGGTGCGCGCCGGAAGTTTTGTTAGCGAAGAGGCGAGCGGATGTCAGGAGGTTGGCTGGTTTTTTGGTGTTGCGGGCGATGGCGAGTGACTTGGACGCCCAGCAAAATTACGCGTGGAGTTGAGTACTGCTGCACACCCTCTGCATAGGCGCAATTTGTGCTGCCCCAGAGCTCCATTTCCCGGCTCGTTCGACCGTCGCTTACGGAGGGAGGCTGTCGAGGAAGCTGTTTTTGCACAGGAAAATGGGAAAAGAAAGGAAAATATCTTGTATGACGGGACGAGTGTGTCTTGAAACGCGGCAAGTCGCTGGCCACTTCACTCTAGCCATCTACCAAATTACATATACATATCTACAAGAGCCGACAGACATACAATGACGATTACTCGGAGAAGGCAAGAAATGAATATGAATCTGCTGCTATTTTTTCTATTCCATCTCATCCGATCCCACCTCACGAGAGAGGAAGACAACCGGCCAGTCAACACAATAGCCGGCCATGGATGAAAATAGTACAACCAGGAAAAGGACGAAAAGAAAAAAACCCTCCTGTCTAAGATGAAGATGTAGAAGCGTTTTTTTTCTCCCTTTTCCGTTCTGTTTCCCTCTCTATCGTCTCTAGAAGCGTGGGAAATGCGACATGCATAAGGAAGAGACATGAAGAGAAGATTTGATAGCTTCGTACTTCTGCTCCCGGCTGGGGGACAACAATGGCATGTATGAAACAAACATCACCGTCGTCGAGCCAGGCTTGTGATAAAGACACGAATGAAAAAAAAAAGAAAGAAAGAAAGAAATAAGGGATATCATGACCGAGAAATGAAGAGGAGTAGAAGGGAGGTCGATGAAAGGTAGAAAGGGGGGGTGGGTGGTTTTTTGGGGGGTATCTCATAGACAAGCCATAGACAGAAGCAGAAGCAGAAACAAAAACCCATCAAGAAAAGCAGAGAGCATCGTAAGAAACATGAGAAGACATAAAGGAAACAGATAAAAAAAACACTCCACAATCAACGCTGGTCTATATGATCTTCATGCAAATTCAGATTTCCCCGATTCCCGATTTTTGGTGGTAGAATTTGGTTTCCCCTATTTGGCTTCTTCCTTTTTCTTCCTCGTATGCCGGAGAAAGAGGTAAAAAAAAGGACGACGGCAAGGAAAGAAAAGAATAGGGAAAACGAAAAATTGAGAACAAGATAAGACAATGCAGAGAAGAGCAAAGGCTCGATAGAGATAGACGACTCTCCTGGGCCCATTGCGTTGACGTTTGAAGGAAGCAAGGAAAAAGATGAAGAGAAGGAAAACAAGGCAGTCCCATCTTTCGAGTCAGACAGACCATTGAGCGTCTCTGTGGAGGTGTTGATGGATGCAAAAGACGGGAAAACTCGATAACAACCGCATTATTTTGGTGTTTTCTTGTTTCTTGGTTTTTTTGAAGGTTTTTTTTTGTTTCGTTTTGTGGCGTATAAAGGCCGATGCGGGTTGAATAGTTGAAAACAAAGGGAAGATGGGTAAGATGGGAAGATTTAAAAAAGAAACGAAAAGGAAGGGATATCAAAGATTTCAATAGGTAAAAAAGGGGAAGAGAAATTCGTAGCAGATCGTAAAAAAAAGCCGCTCCCTCCTCTCCTTATCTTGTGGGTGTGTTTGGTATATCCTATCCTCTTCACTCCTTTTTTTTTTTGGTTCCTCTCGATAGAACAGAAACGTCACTTTTCAGTCGTGAGAAATTGAAACGGTAAAGGCAAAGGAAACAATAAAAAAAGTTCAGGTATTGTAAAGGAAGTCAGCAAGTGCTAGCTTCATCTACGGTAGCGATAAGTGATAGTAGTTTACCACCAGGAAGATGGGCCAGTTGGGCCGGATGGATTGCCGTAGCCACCACCTCCGTAGCCGCCACCATATGGACCACCGCCATAGTTTCCTATACTCACTATTAGTACCAGTTATTCAAGCAAAGGAGAAGAGAGAAGGAATGCTTACCACCACCGCCACCGTAGCTTTGGGGAGCAGCGTAGTTACCACCGCCGCCATAAGAAGGGGGACCGCCCATTCCGCCACCCATGCGACGCATATCACGGTTGGCTCCGGCAGAGCCACGGCCACGGCCACGACCTCCACGGCCGCCGTATCCAGAGCCCTCGCGGGCAATGTTCTCGAGGAAGGATGGGACTTCCTGGTGGGCCTCCTTGAGCAGCTCGATGAGGTCACGGACAACACCGCGGTTTCCACGGTTGAAGAAAGCAGTAGAGATACCGGTGTTTCCAGCACGACCGGTACGACCGATACGGTGAACATAGTCGTCAATGTCGGTGGGCAGATCATAGTTGACGACATGAGTGACATTGGGAATGTCGAGTCCACGGGCAGCAACAGCGGTAGCCACCAGGATGGGGCAGCGACCGTTACGGAAGTACTCAAGGGCACGCTCACGCTCTCGCTGAGTGCGGTCACCGTGAATGGCAGTGGCTGGGAAGTGCTGGTTGATGAGGAATTCGGACAGAGAATCAGCCATACGCTTGGTCTCGACGAAAATGAGGGTCAACCCAGCGCCATGAGTGTGCAGAATATCGAGCAAGACGGAGCGTTTATCGTTGTCCTCAACATACTCGACCTTCTGGGTGATGTTCTCGGAGGTAGAACCGACACGGCCGACGGAAAGGAAGACGTAATCCTTCAAGAAATCACGGGCGAGCATCTGGATGTCGCGTGGGAAAGTGGCCGAGAACATGAGGGTCTGACGGCCAGCAACTGGGGGCATGTCTTCACCCTCGACAATGCGGCGGATTTGAGGCTCGAAACCCATGTCAAGCATACGATCAGCCTCATCAAGGACAAGGTACTTGATGTTGCAGAGCGAGATGCGGCCGCGCTCAATCAAATCGACAAGACGGCCGGGAGTGGCAACGAGAAGGTCACAACCACGCTCAATCTGGCGAAGCTGGGAGCCGATATCAGCTCCTCCGTAGACAACACAAGGGCGAACCCAGGAGCGGTAAGCAAACTTCCTAGCCTCGTCATAAATCTGAGAGACAAGCTCACGGGTGGGAGCCAAGATGAGCGAGGTAGGGTAAGCCTTGCGCTGACGGCCGTAGCTGAACTGACCGCCTTGCTGAGTGGGAGCCGGGGAGGGTCCGTTCTGGAATGCCTGAGAGAGGATTGGGAACAAGAAACCACCAGTCTTTCCGGAACCAGTCTGGGCACAGGCCATCAAGTCGCGGCCTCCCATGACAATCGGGATGGAATACTTCTGGACCGGGGTAGGCACCTTGTAGGAGGCGAGTTTGATGTTGGAGATCAAATGGTCGTCCAGAGGAGGGTTGGTGAAGGTGCTAACGGGCTCGGGGACATTCTGGCCGGAAGCCTCGACGGGGATATCATCGTAGTTGGCGAAGTTGATACCGGTATGCTGCTTGCTGGGATCGTTGGGGACACCGAAGAGTTCGCGTTCGAGACGAGCGTTCGAGGGACCGGGAATGTGCTTTCCATCACGCCACTGGCCATCACCAGAGCCTCTGGCAGCGCCGCCGCCGCCGTAGTTTCCGCCCTGTTGACCTTGATGGCCTGGGTGACCGTAAGCATGTGGATCGAAAGTACGACGGGAGCCGGCGGGTTGACCCCAGCCAGAATTACCATTCACGGCCGGACCGCCACGAGGACCGTAGTCCCCAGCACCCCACCCAGGTGCGTTATTCGGGGCTCTATTTCTTCCCTCGAGTTAGCAGGAATTCAGTCATTTTTTTTCCGAGTCTTTGTTTGAAGGTTACCTACCCTGGAGCCCAGGCGCTGGCGTTCATGCCGGCAGGGCGGCCGTTCTGACCGGGAGCAGGGCCGTCAGGGCCGTCAACGGCAGAGGGACCAGCGGCAGACTCAGCGGCGGCAGCCTGACGAGCCTGACCACGGAGGTGCGGAGGAATGTAGGCGGAGCGTCCGGTCTGGTTTGGCGCGTGCTGGGAGTCGTTGAGGGAGAGGTTTCCGATTTTCAGGTTATCAGCCATATTAACTGCTCACAGCCACCAGAACAGACGGTTAGCCAGGCGCTTCTTGACAGGAAATAATAGTAAAACCACGGAACAGACGAGACAGGTGGAATACTCACCGAGTATCCTTCAAGGTATCCTTCGAAGTAACAGGTCACTGATTACTGGCGCGCGTCTGGAGGGATCGTAGATGGGTCGTTACGGGAGTCAAAAAAAAAAAAAAAAAAAAAAAAAAAAAAAAAAAAAAAATTGAGGAAAGCAAAAACAGAACTGGGATTTTATCTAAAACAAAAAGACACACTGCCGAGAACACAGAATATGATGAAAGAACAGGATTTTCTCTGATCCTGTTGCTCTCGTCTTTTTCTTCTCTGCGTGTGTTGCTGGATGCTGGTGGGAGGTGGTGCTTTTTTGCAGTTGTGTGTTTTTCTGTGCTGGGAGAGAAATAACACTGGGGCCAGAGGCGGTGTAATTAAGATAGATAAGAGCAGGAAAACAGCCTGTCAAGCCTCACTGATGATTTATATCTTCTTTCTCTTCTCTCTTTCCTCTCTATTTAACAAGCTAAAGAGAAAGAAAAGGAAAAAAAAGAACACAACGAAGTCCAGGAAGAAAAAAAGCAGATGAGAAAGAAGAAGAAAAAGTCGAAGTTGAAGATTTTGAGATGAAGAAAAAAAAAGTTGAAGGCGAAAAAAAAAAGAGAGAAGAGATTTCAGTGATGACTAAGCGGTTTCCTGCTTACAAGCTGAGATATACAGAAATTTGGTTGGTCAACGCAGCAAAAAGGTCCCACGCGTATGGTAAACGTGACATTACATATGACTAAGCATGGCCCCCACGACGTTGCTTTTTATAGGAAGAAAAGGGGGAAGAAAAGAAATCGAAAAGAAGTCGAAAAGACAAGAGATGGAGGTAGAAGAAGAAGAATAAGAAGATGGAGATGTTGATGATGATATTGATGGTGGTGAAGGCGATGACGTTAATGAAGGCGTGGGTAGGCGGAGCAGGATAGTAGAGTTGGCAGGGGCTGGGGGTGACAGGTGTCAGTGGCAAGACTTGTCAGACTAACTATAAGGGAGTCAGGGTCAGGGGCAGAAGGGACGTTGATATGGATAGGCATGGGAAGAGGGGATGATAGAAGAAGAGGAGGATAAGAGAAGATAAGAGCAGAAATTTAAAGCAGAGATATACCGCCAGTCCTATAGACAGATACTTCCAAGACACCAGGAAGAGAAACAAACACCAATCATGATGGTATACGCAAGAAAGGGGCATAAATCGGCAGTCAAAGAGCATATATAAAGAGACGGGAGAGCAGACAGACAGGTAGACGGAACTAGAAGCCGTCTCGAGTCTCTCTCCAAAAGGCCAGTCCGCCATAGTCACAGACGCTGTCCATCCACATTATCGAGGTCACGCACTGCTTCACCTCTTCCCACGTCGACATCCCCTTCATCTGCAGTGTCTGCTCGAACCGGGTAGCAAACCACTCGCTGTTGGGCCCCATGCCTCGAGACGCTATTCCGCCCATCACGATGATCCACAGGTATAGACACGACACCCGCTCCTCTTCCTCGGGGGTCAGGTCCTGGCTGCCTTCTCGTTCGTACTCCCACGGCCACTGGCCGGATTCAGCCGCCCAGCCGCTTCCCTCATCACCGTCTACGGTTATCAGGGATTGTATAAGCTGTGCTACCAGCTGCTTGAATGGCCGGTTGGCTGCAGGTAATGGGAATATAACTAGCATGCTGTAGACCATTGCTGCGAGGCGACAGGGTTCATACAGGCGGTAGATGGCGTTGTAGCTGTCTGGAAATTCGTAGGAAGCAGGTAGGGAGACCAGATTGTATTGGATATAGTTGCGGCGGTCGGCAATAACAGACAGTTCCAGGTTCGGTAGCAAGCCCTGGGTCTGTAGGTCGACTACAATATTGTATTCCCGCATGTTCTGCAGGATGACTTGTAGGTTGGGTGGGATCGGAGAGAGGGGATTGGTAGGGATGGAGTTGTGCATTGGTCGAGTGCTGAGGAGGTAGTGTAGGGTTGTGGTCATTGCTGAAGACGACTCGCCCGAGGAGCCTCCAGAGTAGCCTGAACCATTGGTGCCAGGCGTCGGGTTCAGCGTTGGCCAGTTCGGTGTCTGACCTATGGCTGTCTCCTTGAAAATAGGCACAAAGGGTAGACGGGGTTTGGCCAGGTATTTCGTTGACAGCATCACTCCAGATCTAGACATAGGTTAGCATAAAGAATATCACGCATAGAGAAGGCCAAAGGACATTGAAACATACGTAGATAAAGTCTCGGCCAGACCAGGCATCTTTATCGACTTGAGTCCTCCCCTCGTCTCGATGATAGCCATTAGCCCCTTGACATGATGGTCATTCAATGACAGCCCGCCATATACATCCAACCACTGCAGGTTCCTCAGGGGCGCTTTCGGAGATGGGTCAGAGGGCTTCCAGCCAGAGTAATCTATTCGGTTGAACGCCATGCACAAGACAGCGAGAACAACTTCGTCGGAAAACGCCTGGGTAGGGTCCTTCATCATCTTGTTCAGCTGCTTGATTGTCTCGGTCTCACAGACGATTTGCTCCATCTTCTCGGCTCTTGTCTGAGGGGAGACCTGTACGCTATCCAGCCGGCGACGGGTTTGCATATGGCCGGCTGCTCCGTACAAGAAGGCGGTGAACAGTGCTGGATTCGCCATTGCCCGAGGTAGCCACACACCGGCTGCAGCTTCGCGGCCCCAGCGCTGACCCTCTGCGCCCAGGACGAGGCCAGGCCAGAGATCAAAGGCAGCGTAACGCATGAGCCTGCCTATAGCTCCCTCGTCTAGTATCGACGGACATATCTGACCAGGGTTCTCAAGCCAGTGTATAAGTTGGTTGAATGGGCGGTTGACGTTGTTACTGCCCACGCTGGAAGCTGGGGTCCTTATGTGTGGTGCTATGGCAAGACAGCCAGTAGGTGGAGGAGAGCCATCAGAGTTGCTACTCTCTTCGTCGACAACAACAACACTGTCATTGGCCTGGATATTGTTATTGTCTCGTGAGACATCTTCCGCATCTCCGTCTGCGTCGGCGTCTACCTCGCCTTGGTCGTCACAGCCTGTATCAACATTGGTATGTATATCGTTCCAGTTCCCGTTTACGACAGCCGGCTCGATGCTGGGCACACTGTCATTCATGTCAACAGCTCTATGCACACTCATGCCCATTGCCATTCGAGTACTAGAATTACTCGGCGGAGTCTCCTCTTTAACGCCCGCGGACCATGTCTTTAATGTCTGTCCACGACGTCGAGACGCTGCCATCGTCTTACCAGCATCAGCAGCGGAATACTGACGAACCGCTAACCCGGAGCCGTTCCCATTTCCGCTCATACTAACGTTGGTAGACGCCCCTCCTGATCCAGTATTTTCAGCTCGCACAGCTCGATGCTGCCTCCAAATATACTTACTGGCATGTGAACGGATCAAGGTCCTGTTCTCCAGCTTCTGGTCCTCTGATATGGGATTCACGGTCACAAAGTGGAAGACATCTCCATTCTTGTTATTGCCAGCCCCATCTTTCCCAACCGTACCAGCTGTGGCAGCAGCACGGCGTTCGGCGAGCTTCGTCTTCTTCGTCTTGGGTGGCATGGCGGTAAATATCGAAGTGGCTGTTGGGAAACTTCGGATAAAAAGTATTGTATTGAATCGGTCAATTGCGGAGCTATACGATCAGGATCGTAGTTCTTGTTATCAATTGCTGATTCTTCCTGTTCGGTCATTGTGGAAGGGGACGATATAAAATGAAAGAATTACCTCTCTAACGCAAAGCGAGATTGATTCCTTGCAGGAATGTAACAGTTTGTTCTTCGAATGTGTTCACGGTATCAGCCAAGACAAGGATAGATCAAGACCAGCGAAGAACATGGTATCCGCATATCTTTTCTTGCATGCAATGTGTTATATTATTCTTCTCTCCGACACCTTGTCTTTCGATGTGTAACGAAGGTGTTTCTGTCTCCCCTTTTGTTCTTATCTGATGTTGTTCTGTGTGTCCTTTTTGGGAGTCCCTGTCCTGCCAGTCCAGAGGGACGGGTCCAGGGCTGCTTAAAGGGAGCCAGGAAAAAATAAAGAAAAATCAAATAAGAGATATAAAATTGGAGGAGGGTCAGAGAGAGAGGCAGGTCTAAAAAAGAAAATGGGAACGGATTAACCCAAAATGCGCCCCAGCAGCCTACCCGGGTTGCACTTAAGAGACGTTAGTTCATAATATATCCCCTCCCTCCCCTCCCCCCCCAGTAACTTTGCTATGGAGCACACTCTTCGTCTCCCGTTACAGCCGGGGAGGGGATCCGAGAAAATAGTCGAACGTTGGGACGAGAGAAAGAGAGCAAGCAAAGCATCGAGCGAGTCGTCCCCTTCGAGTCGAGTTGTCGCTGCCATCCAGACCCGAACAACGAAGAGGACCAATTCTGGACTAACAGCCAGCTAGCTGCACGTCCATTGCCCGCCAAGCTCTCGATCTTCATTCTGACCAGAAAATAGCGCGAAGAGACGGGTCCGTATGGACGTAAAAAGCAAATATTGACCTTCGCAGTCTTGCTTATCCCTTCCTCCAAAAAATTGATGTTTGGATACATCTTCGTTTTGGCTTTTTCGTCTCTTGTTCGCCCTCCTGCTGCTCCTCCCTTCAAACTCGATCGAGTCTGACATCGAGCTAGATCGTGGAAAAGGTTGGTGCGGCAACTGCAGACGCTCAGGGCGATACTCCGTTTTCAGCCAGCCATACAGACGTCGTAAAAAGGGGTCGGCAGAGAAGGTACACCAACGAACGCCCGCAGGGGTCAAGCAAGCGAACGAGGAAAAATAAAAAGCACAAACTGATTTCAAACGGGTGTTCATCCGTCATTTTTTTATTATTTTGAGTCCATGATCGGGTAACTATATCGCCCATAGCGGTGTGGTGTGGTGTTGCGAGATTTAGCGTGCTTCGTCCTTTGAGGGTGCGTTTCTTTCGCTCCACAACCGTTGCATGATCCCAAGCGGCCCACTGTATGGACTCAGTTAGATCACAGGGTGACAAGAGAGGATGGAGGCGAGGGAGAAAGTGGGAGAGAAAAGGAGAGCCACCAGCAGGACCTGAGGCAGACATCAGGGAGGAAGCTTTCTCTGAATGATGATGATGATGCGTTGCTTGCACTCCGTCGTGAGACGCTTTGGTTGCACGGGCTGCGGGAGACTTCTGGCGTAGCCTCTCTCTCTCCAATCTCCTGGCCCTTGCCCTTTGAAATAAATACGCATGTATTCTCCGGATGGTGAACCAGCCCCGATAACTAAGTAGTCATCCCTTCGTTTCTCCATGTCCCTTCTCGGATTTCCTAACCGGGCTCCTCTTGGTCTTCATAGCGTGTTCAGAAGAAAAGTGATATCTAAACCTTCATTTTAAGACGGGAGAGAAAAACGAGCCGGCGGCGGTCGAATCGGATAGTTCTAGCCCGCAAACCCTCGCCAGAGCAAAACCTTCCCTGCATGCAACGATCCCTGGCCTGACAAACGGGGGTTTGTTAACTCTCGGACGCATCAATTTCTCGCTCCATGGATCTGACAGCTGTAGTTAGGCGAAAGGGGAGGCTTGTTCGGCCTGCGTTATTTGGACCGGCCCAGTTGATATCGACTGTCCTCCTTCGAACTTGCGCACCGCCGATGGAACACAACTTGTACGATGTACCATTTGTAGGACGAAGTACGGCGTCGAGTCTCATCATCTGCAGCTCGCTGTGACTCTATATCGAGGTCGTGATTGGTGCTGCGTCTAGTCGTATGCTGGGGGTTGTCTAGAATAATAGTGACAACAAAATATTTCATCTATCCCCGCATGCTGCAGATTGCCGATCGTCTGCGCTTCTCAGAACCAAAGCAAGTACCTATGATTATTATGCTGGTTTCAGACCCAGGGAGCTGGAGTGCTAGAGCGCTGGCTGCACAACCAAGGCCTGGAGGGTCGGAGTGACTGGCCAGACATCAGACGCGGGCGTATGGAAATGGTGCTGCTCTGCATATATTAATGGAACATCGACACACATTATCATGTAACAAAGCTTTCGTACCTCGTACAAGGCGACAGTCAACGTTTGCCGCATCTAATAAAGCCTGGATGGATAGACTTGTTGATGTTAGCTCAGGGTGGCTGTCGCTCGAGGGTCGACGTTGTGGTTAGAGAGGGCTTTGGCTATGAGCTCGACAAACTTCCACCTCATCTAGCGTTGACACTCCAACAGCCGTCTTCTCGAATGCAGGCTACGAGACGCCACGAAGACGGTTGGCCATATAGACCTCATGCTCGCATACTGTATGCTAGGATCAGCCCATTTTATTGAAGTTACCGCTGTCAAGCACTCGGTAGTTCGAGATATTCTGTGCAAAAGACAAACACACACACACACACACACACGTACTCCGTAGATTGGCGAGATTTCTGTACCGAGAGAACGTCAGGGAGAGAACCAGAGCAAACAATTCTACAGCCACAAAAGCCAGTATTAACTTCAGAAGACAAAGGGAAAAAAAAACCAGAAGCTTCTCCTGAACAAACAATTCGCCTTGCCTCTCAACCGGCAACTAACTACCTGTCAACCTCCGTGGCTCAAAAGTAAATCCGCCATAATAATGCTATCCTGAACATCGCCAAGGACGCTTGATTCCCAGACCGTAACGTATCTAGGCACAGCAGGAAAAGGCTGCACCAGCACTGGTTAATCGTCATCGAAAGGTGAACGTTAGGTTTAACGCTGTTGATACTCGCAAACCCCGTGGGAAGAGGCGGTGAATTTCTTCAGTGCTTGAGCAGTGCCGACGAGTACAGCTTATCCCACACTCGGCAGATTGGATCCAGTGTCTTCACGTCCTCAGTAGCAATAGCGTTTGCCCCGTCTTCTCTTAGCAGGCCAACGGAAGGGTACTGCTTCCAGCTTGGGCCGGCTTGCGGGTTCTTGACGAAGTCTGCCCACAGCTTTTGTAACCAGAGCTTGTTCGCCTGTCCCGGATCGCGAAGCCCCTGCGTGCCGAATACATAAGCTATGTCAGACGTATGGTAGACTCCTAGTTCTGCGTAGTCAGGATGACTTGCGGCCGGGTCGTTAAACAGATACTGCCATACAGGTACTTTCAGAGTTGTTGCAGTAAGATTCGCGACGAAGCCAGCAGGGCAACGAAATGTCAAGTCCGTTATCATCTGTGAGATTATTTGGCGACCCATTGATAGGCTTGCTGTTGCCGTGGAGTTCGGTGAATACAGTTTTATTATCGCCTCCACTAATTCAGGGGGAAATGATAAACTGTTGATGAAGGCTGTGACATTGTCCCCCTTGCCGTAGGCGAAGGTTGATCCATCGTCTAGAGTTGAGCCTATGAGGATCGGTACTTTCGCGGCCTTGCCTGCAGCATACGCCTTGGCTGGGGATTCAAGGACAGTGACATCGTCCATGTTGGGGGTTTGGAATGGCAGGCCAGTCTCCAACAGTATCTTTCGCAAGGTACCAACACTTGCGCCACGAACGCATTCTAGGACGGCCGCATCTGAACTACTGGTACAGTTGAGACATTGTACCAAGCCCGTCCAAGATGAAAATTCGCTATTGGGGGGGCTTGGAGGGAGTTGGAACAGTGAAGAGCCTGATTGCAAAATGGCGGCTCGAAACGGCAGATTAACGGGAGCTGTATTGATAAGATGGCCCACAGATACTGCTCCGGCAGACTGTCCAGCAATGGTGACTAAAATATCGCTTAGTTATGACATGCAAAGGCAGAGGAAGAAGCTTCATTGATATATATATATATATATATATATATACCTTTATTGGGATCACCTCCGAAAGCATGGACGTTTCTCTTTACCCAGTCAAGAGCCAGTCTTTGATCAAGTATACCCAAGTTTCGCTTGTCTAATGGAAGCTGTGGTGACCGGGGGAACCCAAACACTTCGTCAAGATTTAGTCATCCTTTTCTATGGCATATATATATACGGACGGTATCAATATACTCACAGTTAGTTCGATAATTGGCGGTAACCACAATGATATCCTGATTTGCAGCAAGACTTGAACCGTCGTAAAACGGATACGAACTAGCTCCAAATCTATACCCACCGCCGAATGTCCAGAACAATATCGGTTTCCCCTTGTAATCACCTTTGGGCCGGTAGACGTTCAAATACAGGCAGTCCTCGCTCTCCCCGGGTGCGGGAGGCGTGTTGAATAACGCCTTTTGAAATTCGCTCCCAGAAGTCTTGTTGCCGAAATCTTGTATGCAAGCTGGAGGGCTTTTGGAAGTATGCAGGGGCTTATGCCAGGGCAGTGGGTGTTCTGGTGGTGAGAATCGAAGGTTCTTGACTGGCGGTTTGGCAAAAGGGATGCCGAGAAACTGATGCACTGTTTCCGTTGAGCCAGGAACATGCGCATTTTTACCGATGATAACACCCGAATCGATGGTCACAACTGGACTGGTGTGGTCGTTGTTATTATCATGGCTGCTAAGTCGTTCAAGAGGGGAGGATGTTGAAGCCCGTATAAAAACCGTGCAAAGCGCAAGTGTTTTAAGTAGAAATCGCATTATGAAGCAGTATCTGATAGATAGCAGGATGAACCCATCTTACAGCTTCGAGAGTCCATCGTGCTCTTTAAATAACGGGTATCATCACAGTGCAGAACAGAAAGAAAGTCTATCACAGCTGATATTTGCTCGACTGCTTATGAAGCACGAGGAGGCAAGCTGTGAGCCATCCCGATCAGGCCCTATGGGCCGCCGAGGATGCCTGTTGATAGGGCTGACTGTGGCGGAGTGGATGAGAAGGATCGGGCTGTAGGGACCCTGGCATTGGCATCGATCGTTTTACCCCGAGGCTAAGGCTTAGCTCGATGAAGGATTGAATGTTAGCAGCAACCAATTGTTATGGCATGGAGGCGACTGTGACTATTACTGTGAGAACCATGCCATCCAACGAATAAACGCTAATATCATCATCCACAATAAAACTACGAACGGACAAGGTGATAGTTCGTACTTACGGAGACCGACTTGTATAGAGCGACGACTATACCGAGAATCAAAGCGAACACAGGTAGGAATGATAAATTGAATATACAAGCGCAGGAGAGCAAGCAAGATGTTGGGAGTAAGTTGGATTGCATAGTTGTCTTCTACTTTGTGCTGTCTGGCGTCATGGGGGCTTGACTGCCTCTATAGAATCTGAAGCGTCCAAAGAATCCTTTCAATTCATAGATAGACACAGTTCATAATCATCAGCGGATCCGGACGGTAAGTTATCAGGACATGGCACTTGAAAACGATGATAATAATGATGAGGATTAAGAAAGGACAGGTGAATCTGTGCAAGTTCAGGGTATGACGAGGCCAGGAGCTCTTGATAAAACCGTTTAGATTTCATCACGGACTGGGGCCTGTTCTTTCTCGGAGTCGGGCTTAGATGGTGATTCAGTACCTTCGCCCTCTGTTTCCTCCTTCATCTCAAGTTCTCCGCACTTGGCAATTTTTACATCTTTGGTGGGACGGTCCTGGAAGCCCTTGGGGACGACCTGGATCTTCTCAACGATATCGTATCCCTCGAGCACCTCGCCGAAGACGACGTGCTTTCCATCAAGCCAGCTATTGTATCATCCGCGGTCAGCGATTGTAAGTGCTACGTCGCATAGTTAATGGGTGTAAACATACGCAGTAATAGCGGTGGTGATGAAGAACTGAGATCCGTTGGTATCTTTCCCGGCGTTGGCCATGCCTATAGTGAAGTTACGGTTAATTTAGGCAATCGTACCATTACGCAAAGAATGTACAGTAACATACTGAGAAGACCCGTCTTGGTGTGGCGTAGCTTGAAGTTCTCATCTTCGAATTTGTTGCCGTAGATGGACTTTCCACCAGTTCCTATGTTTTAATTAATCAGTCAGTATATAAGGTATGGTGTATAGGGATATAAATATTACTGACCATCACCATTGGTAAAGTCACCACCCTGGATCATGAAGTCCTTGATAACTCGGTGGAAGGTAGACCCCTCATATCCAAATCCTTTTTCGCCAGTAGCTAAAGCGCTATTATGTTGTACTCATCAGTATTTAAACGCCTGCGACGCAATTGAGGGATATCAGATATTGATCATACCGGAAGTTCTCAGCGGTCTATGTCACACATGGTCAGAATGATAACGCATCGTTCGGTGAATATTGAGGATCGGCCAACCCACCTTTGGCACCGTCTTTCCGTACAATCCCATGACAATCCGTCCGAGGGGCTGACCATCATGCTCGATATCAAAGTAGACCTGTATATCACGATTGATTAGCGCCTCGATGCCATCTCTAGGCTTTTGCTGTCAAAGACTCGAAGTACCTTGCTTGTGATCTTGGGACCTTTGGCCTCGACCGTCTGTCCCATGAAGAGGAACAGAGCGACGGCGGCGAAGACCACGAGAGTCAAGATACGCCCAATTCTAGCCATATCGTGTATATAGAAGTGTAGACAAGATGCTTATCCTGGGGAAGATAGTAATAGGAGGTAGATGGAGAGGAGACAGTTGCATGCAGAGAAGAGACGTGGCTGTTTTATTCCACCTCTTCGTCTGCCAAAACACGGGCGATCTTAGCGGAACTTGAAACTTTCAACTTTACGTACAGCTGATTGGCTAGGCGCGGGCATAAGGGGAGTTTGCTTGATGAGTCATCATAGATATGTACTAAAAATTATACGCTTGGATCGTACCTCAGCTCTGTAGTTTAGTGTTTTTCCCTGGCTCTGTAGATTTCTATTGTTCTGTCCTTGTATCATGGCTGGCTGGATATATTACTCGCAGTTTCTTTGCCAAATCTAATAATACTAAATATGTGACGAGGGCCCGACTGCTGGCCTCTAGGAATGCAAATGGATGCCGGGCGTCCGGGCGGTCCCCATAAGGTTACGGAATAATAGATTTACCGATTTACCGATCTTGGCAACCACCACTGGACATCCAGGCCCGTGGGAATTCAAAGTTCGATGTCGGATGTGAATGCGATAGATGAAAACGAGCGAGAGCAGCTGGAAGAGTGTGAAGAAGTAGATAACACTGCATTAGCCGCCATGGTAAGACCAGAAACTGCTCGAAAGAATACCAATTGAAAGTCGTCAGCTAACTAGTACGGCCAGGTCTTCATCTTAGGCACCAGTTTTCCCGAGCGACAGCTCGTTAGAGCAAGTTCAACCCTCATCCAGAATACGGATTCTCGCCGCTAATTCTAACTCTTCATACTATACAGAAAGCTCTGCGCTCATTTTTCGGCATCGGCGAGCTGCGATGCAACCAGCTGATGGCTCGATTCCATATCCATCCCACTTCGACCGTCGGTGAACTGGCAACTAGACAGGTCCTGGATTTGACTGGTGCATTGTCAAACATGAAGATCGAAAACGACTTGAAGCGAGAGATTCTCGATAATATCAAGAGACTGAAGACTACTGGAACATACCGAGGAAGAAGACATGCTCTCAACCTTCCCGTTAGAGGACAGAACACCAGAAGCCAGGTATGTGACGTTGAAGCCAATTTAATCTGGGTAATTGCTAACACATGATGTAGATCAAAAATGCTATCAAATTCAACCGCATTGACAGAAAACTATGATTGCGCTGCAAGATCTTTTTTAAACACTCTCATTTTTGTGATGTACTACTATACAGGGGTATTTGGGCGGCGTTAAGCATGTATCTGCCATATAACAATATAAAACAACATTACCACAAATTCTTGATACAAGTAATCGAACCCAGGTCACTTTGGAAATATCAATTAACTTGCTCTATTTTGTTTTCCTCTCCCATTCTATTTTATTTTGATACTGCATCTTTCTGGAGTATACCCTCCCCTCGGTTTATTTGGATAGCCTTATCCTCGCCAACACTGGCTATTCCGACAGTTTTATCCCAGCAGACGTCGAAAACTTTTACACCGTCGCCACCCATTCGTTTTCCTTCGTCTTCAACTGACTTTCTCGATATGGAGTATATGCTTTCTCCCACTACCCCGTCCTTTTCAGTCTTCGTGGATCGGATATCCCATATCCTACATGTCCCGTCATGGCTGCCACTGATCAGTCCATATTGGCTGTTTGGATCCCGGGCCAAAGAAACAACAACATTAGTATGTCCTCTCAAGGTCATGGCGGAAACAGTCGTCGCTGAGTCACGAGGATCAATTAGGGTAATATGCCGAGCGGCCGTACCAGCAGCAAGCAGTGTGAGCTGTGGTAGATGTTCAACGCATAGTAGAGAATAGGAAGTAGTGCGAGTATCGACAAGAGCAGACGTAACCAGATCCCAGGTACGAAGTGTGTGATCCCATGAAGTCGAATACCCAACAGTTGAATCCTTGGTGTCGAATATGGCTGCAGACACAGGTGCTGTATGTGATTCAAACAACGCCAATGGCCCTCGCTGGGGGGTGCTGACAGACGATTTGACTTTCCGCCGTTTAGCACTTCTGGAAGCACTTGAAGGTAATAGGTCCGATGGTGCCTCGGGGCTCTCAGATTTCTTCGTAGACCAGAATCCAACAGTGTTATCGGCAGAGGCAGAGAGTATCCTGCTTGACGGACCATGAACCGCAATAGAATCAACGCTTCCCTTGTGCCCGTAGTATTCAACCTGGGGAGTGATCGAGGCGGAGAGTCCATCTTCGCTCTCGCTGTACTTCCACAGTCGCACTGTTCGGTCAATTCCGCAAGACACAATCTGGTTTGGTGAGGCCATTCGAACACCCTTTATCGATGAACTATGCCCGCCATTCCCAGCCGATGGAGAAACAGCAATTGTCTCTCCCGACAAATTCCACATCCTTAGCAGCCCATCATAACTACCTGACAATATCCTCTCTTTTCCTGACTGTATCTCTTTGCTGCTCCACTGAGCAACATGAGAGGTCCCGGACAAAACGTCAACGGCGCTCACCCAATCGTCGTGCAAAAAAGAAGCGACATGGAGTGGAGGTATGAGGGCTCGAACATATTCGACATCAAGAACCGTTTCCGCAGAAATTCCATTGGCAGTAAGGTATTCGTCTATTGAAGTTCGGAGGTAGCGCCCATTTATCAAAAACTCAAAGGGAACTGGTTTCGGCAACTCAAGCAGGTTATTCACAAGCGTGGATAGGGCATATCGTCGTAGCTCTTTATATGGGTTAAGAATATTTCAGTTAGCAATGACCATGCAATAACAACTTATAACTCAGGTGGCAAAAGGAATATTTGAGCTATACCTGTAGGAACGAGAATGGGACCAGTTGAATCCGGTAATGCGAGATCAGCATGGCGCGATGCCAGTCGCAATCGGACTTGTCGTTGTACTTGCGAGGACTGTCCCTCGGCAGCTGACGTAGAATCTATCAGTGAATCCATGGTTGTAATCTGCTAAATATCCAATTGAACACTGCGGGCTTCCTTTGACAATCAATTGAGCTTTATCTCTTGATACGTTTTTTTTTATCGCGAAACTTTTTACGGCTGGCGGGATGAGCAAAGTGTGCAAACTCTTGGCAACAATTTAGAAAAAATTTGAGAAGGATGAGCTTTGAAGTTCGGGAAAAACCATAATGGAGGCCCATAAATAGTAAATTATATTAACAGCTACTATGAAGAGCTCCGTATCTCTGATATTGCCTTCCGCCTGTGCTCTGAGTCCGCGAATAACGCCTTGATCAAATCAATGAGTTCGTCGGAGGAGAATTCCAGCTTCAATTCGCCCTCCTTCCATAGATATTTGATATCTGCCAATGAGCTCTCCAATATGTTTATAAGGTACTGAAACTTAAGCCAGTTCGGGACATAGATTGCTGTCATGGCGATAGGCTTATCACCAATTCCTCTGCTTTCCTCAGATACCTCGGGGAGGAATAGATCTTCAAGTTTCGACACCGAGCTGCAGAATTCAGCAAGGCGCTGTGATTCGGGGTCCGAGATATCTCCAAGGTCTTCAATGTCTAGGATAATCTTGTTTATCCCCGTCGAGAGTAGAGAGCCGATAGACTGTAGCAGCACCGAGGGGGAGAGTATGGACTTCCACTCGCTGTGTACACCTCTGACTCTATCGACCGTTGCTTTTATTGCCCTCTCGCATTCTCCAAGGTAAGGCTGGACATTACAGCTCGAGAATCCCTGGCAACCATCCAGAAGATCAGTCAGTATCGTTCGTTGGGAATGCATCTCCCTCCCGTACGACAGACGTCCAAATTTCTCGATGGAGTCTATATCCCCTGCTAATCTTGAAAACCCATGCTCTTCAGAGAAAGCACGTAGTCTCTCAGCTAAGTAGATACTGTCGTTGTAGAGATACATATGGCTAGAAGTAGATTTTTGGGAATAGAAGATCGGTGCCATAGCTTTGAACATGGCAACCACTAACGTGGGGATTCCGAGGAGAGCTGCAGCAGATGGGGAAAGCTGAGATGACGAGTATCTATAGAACAGTTAGATGGGTCTGTAAAGCGGGATCATCTGCTTGTGAAATGACTTACTTAGGTTGTTTGAGGTGTTCGGAGTCAGAAACTTGATCTCCTATGACTTCAATAATGGCATCCGGTACCTTGGTAACGGTATAGAATTCTCGTAGGACAACCTCTTTTGGAGCTTGCGCTGGCCCCTTATCTTCCTTCGTCTTTGGCGCCTTGCTAGCCGAGTTTGATGGCTTTTCCTCGGGCGGATTGTCGTTTGCTTCGTCTTCGCCCCATCCCCAGGCTTCATCTATATCGTCATCGCCGTTTTCTCCTTTTTTCATGCTCATTCCTTCTTGGGACATATCTTCGTCATCGTCATCTAGTCCCCACGCACTAACGTCTTCATCCCCATGGTCAGTTACTCTAGTTCCGGCGCTTTTCTCGTCTACTTCCTCATTCTCATCCTCCCAGTTGGCATTCCAATCATCCTCAACTTCTGTTTCGTCACTATTTCCCTGAAATATGCTATCAGACTGTGACACTTGCTGCTTTTCTATTCGTTCGGCCTTTTTATATTCACCAGAATGACGGTATACAATCGACCTGACACGGTCTAAAGCATGGGCACGTCGGCGTGATAACCACAACCGAGGTATTTGGTTTCTCCAAGATCCTAGCTCGGGAGGTACATGCCATCCTAGTTCAGCCAGAGATTTGGAAAATTGTGGTAATTCGTCCAGGGTACGCTCAAAAGCATTCATATCCTCAACAGCCACAGGTATAGCCGGTGACATCCATTCTGAAATTAGGAGCTGACAGGAAGCAGTAGCAAGAGTGGTAGAGACTACCTCTAGAACCCTAGCCGGAAGATTGTTCTGGATGAATGTAAACAGGGAGAGGATCGAGCCTAGAACGTCTGATATTGTAGGCTTTGCAACTTGACTCTTCAGTTGGATATAGTTCTCACCAGAAGAGAAAAGATTATATGGGCCCGTCCGAGAAGGAGACAAAACGGGCTGCAGAATGTGACTTAGAAGCTCTTCCCGAAAAGAAACAAGAGTAGTCTGCAAGATCCGCAGATTTGAAAGCCAGTTTAAATGGCGGTCTAACACAGATATATCTATGGAATGTCAATAAACAATACCGATATTCTTATATGATAGAGCAATCCTACCATCTACTTTAATGGTGAGTATCCCCACTTTATCAATATGAACTAAGTTATTCCATGAATTTTGTAGCGAGGCACATAGGAAGCTTCGGATGGTGGAAGCCTTATCGGCTAGTATGGTAATAATGGTCGAGTCTTGGGGCAGAGCCAGTTGATCCAAGTCCTGGTTAACCAGGTCGAGTTTATGGATTGCTATTTCCAGGTTGTTATCATTTCCGCAGGCCTGGGCAGCATCTATATTGTTATCAATGATGCGTGCGTTTTCGAGGGTTTCCCTTAGAGACTGTGTAAATGCAGTTTCGCGCTTTAAAAGGCTGACTTTGGCTGCTGTGTCCTCAACTTGATTCTGTAAAGCTTGTGCTTTCTCGTGATTTTTGACAATTTCCCTCGCTGCCAGTTTCGATCGTTCTATGTCCTCATGAAGCTGCTTTGCTTGTGATATCCACTCGTCGACGTCTGACGCTTTGTCCTGGCTCAGGGCACTGATTTCTTTCTACGTAGTGGTATTGTCAGTTATGTATTGCTAGGTCGTAATTGTCCATCAACGATATCTCCCATACCTCGACCCTCTGTCTCGCCTCAGATATCTGCTCAAGTCCAGCAGGGAGAGCTGTCACAGGGTACTCCGCCTCGGTGATGGACTCTGATTCCGGGAATGAGCCATCGGTTATAAATTTGAGTAGTGCCCGGTGCACTTTGTCGTCAGAAACGGTCGCCGGCATGGGGTAGTGGCTTCGACACTGCTTGGTAGTGACTTGACACACCTTCATCAAGTTGTTAATGGGGCGTCCGAGATACTAGGAGTTAACAGTATGGCCATATCTTACCGCGCACTGCAGAATTAAACTCCAGCAACCAAATAATTCTTAGCGCTCTACTAACTGAGATGTTGTAGGCTATCCGCGGCGATTGCTAGAATGCTTGTTGTTGGCATCTAAATGAGTGCATACGGAGTGGTAGTTAGTAGTTAGTAGTGCCTAAGTAATTAAATTTAATGGCCTTTTTGGCCGAGGCGCCAAGCAATGCGGGACGAACAGTAATTTTTGTTAACTGATAACTTCAAAGCAAACCTTCTAAACATCAAATAAGGGCTTCAACCACTTACTGAGTTAAATTATTTCAAATTCAGAACCTTATCCAACGGACCACAGGTAGAGAGACCTCCCTTCAAGTACACCAGGCTCGGATCAGGATCTACGGGATACTCTGGGGAGCCAATTCCTTGGTTACGGAGAGGGGCTGGGATTCAGGATCCTTGACGGCTTGATTACAGGCATGCACATGAGTGCCAACATGGAGTCAAGACCCTCTTTTCGGATTGTCAATCAGTTTATCCCAGATTACTCTTCCTCTGTTTTTACCCAATATGAGTCTCAAAGAACCGGAATGAGAGTGGTCACCATAGACCAGAAAGGCCCAAGAGTTCAAGGGCACTTTGTGCTTGCTACTGAGATCCACGACGACTCTGGTGCGCCCCATACTTTGGAGCATTTGTGCTTTATGGGCTCAAGAAACTATCAAGACAAAGGAATTCTTTACAAGCTTTCAGCCCGGCTGTATTCGGAGATCAATGCTTGGACAACTGTCGATCATACCGCTTATACACTTGAGTCTGCTGGATGGGAGGCATTTGCTCAATTATTACCAGTATACCTAGAGCATATCATTACCCCAACATTGAGTGACTCTAGCTGCTACACAGAGGTATACCATATTGATGGTACTGGACACGATGCAGGGGTTGTGTATTCTGAAATGCAATCATTCCAGAATGACTCTCTATACCGTGCCGACATCTGTGGCCGCAGACTACTCTATCCTGCAGGCGTTGGATTTAGGTATGAAACCGGTGGAATGATAGAAAATCTTAGAGTTCTTACGGCGGACCGAATTCGCAAGTTTCATCGAGAAATGTACCAACCGAAAAATCTATGCCTTGTTATTACAGGCGAGATTGACCACAAGAATCTCCTTTGGATACTCCATAAACTGGAGGACACGATTATGGATATTATTCCAAGTCCGTCTGCCCATTTTATAAGGCCTTGGATTGACTCACCTCAGGCTTCTCCTCTTCAAAAGTCAGTTGTCGAAACGGTTGAGTTCCCAGAGGATGATGAGTCTTTTGGAATGATTCAGATTCGCTTTCTTGGACCTGATTTGAGGGACCGTGTTTTGGGTAAGCAGTACAATACTCTAGAGAAAGGTTGATGATGCTAACCTCTGCAAAGCGAGCGCGTTAAACGTTACTTTACTCTACCTTGCAGGCTCATCTGCTTCTCTTTTGGTGCATGCCCTTGTTGAAAAGGAGCAGGTTACATCCGCAGTAACATACGACACGGAGGAGAGACCGCATACGGAAATTACCTTCACTCTGTCGAACGTCGCCACGGAAGAGCTGGAGGCTGTTGAACGCCGGTTCTTTGAGATCCTGAAAGATGCAATGGAAAGGGAGATAGACATGAAATACATGCATGAATGTATTCAGCGACACCAACGGATCTGGAAATTTGCAACAGAGACATCGACTACCTCATTTACCGAAGCTGTGATAACTGACTTCCTCTTTGGGGAACGGGATGGCTCAACACTAGAGACTCTGGGAACTTTGGAAGAGTACAAAGTTTTAGAGAAATGGACTGATATGGAATGGCGAAAATATATTAAAAAATGGATTTCTAACGCACATCATGTTTCCGTTCTAGCTATACCTTCCGCCAAATTGGCTACAGATGTGATGGAGGATGAACACAAGCGTATCGAGGAGCGAAAAGCCGAGTTGGGAGCAGAGGGGTTAAAGAGGCTCGCAGAGGCTCTGGAGAAGGCAAAGAGGGATCATGTTGAGGAACCGTCAACTGATCTAATGTCGGGATTTACCATTCCTGGTACTGATTCAATTCATTTCATTCAAACATCTACAGCAAAGGCAGGTCATGCTTTGAAGTCCAAACGCACCGATAATGATACCCAGAAATCAATAGATTCAGATGGACCTGAATTGCCTTTATTCATTCACTTTGAGGGTATAACTAGTAACTTCGTGCAGTTGATCCTGATGATCTCAACGGAGGATGTGCCTCATACTTTGCTGCCTTTACTGCCGTTATACACTGAATCCTTCTTTAGCCTGCCCATCCAAAAGGGGAGTGAAATTTTATCATTTGAACGGGTTATTGTTGATCTAGAGAAAGATACAGTGGGCTACTGGATGTCTCCAACTTACAACAACCCTGAATCCCTTTCAATCTCCCTCCAGGTAGAGGCCAACAGGTATCAAGCCGCCATATCCTGGCTGAAAGATTTAACATGGAACTCAATCTTTGCTGTTGACAGGTTGAGGGCTGTCACATCCAAGCTACTCGCAGATATCCCAGAAGAAAGAAGAGATGGAGAAGGTATGGTGGAAGCTATCGGGATAATGACACACCTAGGAGAAAAGTCCATATCTAGAGCGTACACGGCGCTCGTGAAAGGTCGATATCTAAAACGTGTCCAAAAAGTGTTGGCTACCCAACCAGATAAAGTTGTCCGACAAATGGAGAAAGTTCGAAAGTCACTTTTCCGTGTGGAAAACTTCAGAGTGCTTGTTATTGCCGATGTTAAAAAACTCACTGGCCCCGTCACGTCGTGGAACACATTTATAGCCGGCTTGGACACCTCAAAGGAGCTGAAGCCTGTGGTCAATGTGGCAGAACGGCTAAGTGATGCTGGCAGACACCTGGGCAAGCACGCCTATGTTGTTCCGATGAGGTCGATGGATTCTTCATATGCTGAGTCGAGTTCGAAAGGCATTTGTTCTCATGATGACCCAAAATTACCTGCATTGATGGTTGCCATTGCTTATCTGAACATGGAAGAAGGACCAATGTGGAACGCCCTTCGCGGGCCCGGGCTAGCCTATTTCTTCTATTTGCGAACGAATATTGAAAGTGGACTTATACATTTCATGATCCATCAATCTCCCAATGCTTATAAAGCTTTTGAGGCAGCAAAGACAACTGTCGAGGATCTTCTCTCTGGTTGTATGGAAGTTAAATCAAAGAACGTACTGGAATGCGCGGTTAGCACATTGATTAACCAGTTCGCTACTGAAAAACAGACTTATTACGAGGCGGCTTTTGACAGTTTTGTCAAAGACACAATTCTCAGCTTACCGAGTGACTACAATGAGACTCTGTTGAAGAAGATTAGAGATATTGATATGGGACAAGTAAAGGAGGCCATACATGATTTCGTTTTACCCCTGTTTACCGCAGGAATGACAGATCTATTTGTGACCTGTGCCCCAGCCCTCAAAGAGGTGAGGAACATACTATTCAAACTGATTACACCCCCAGTCCACTAACCAGGTGAATGATTGTTTTTAGGTCATCCATAAAGGGTTTGAATCAGCAGGCTTCCAGCCAAAAATACGGTCTCTTCGCGATTTTGAGGACGATTATGGGCTGAAGTTTGATCACGACGGCCATGAAGATAGCGACAATGAAGAAGATGATGACGATGATGATGACAACAGTGATGATGAAGAAGACGATGATGAAGGGGAAGGCGATGATGAAGAGAACTAGTAAGGGCCGGGCTGCTCAGTGCTGACTTGGTTAAATTTTGATTCTTGAGAATAGAGGTGAGTAAATGTAATAACTATCTATAGACTTTGAGATGGAACATTGTTCAGACATCTCTATCATATCGTAAACAGGTAGTCGCACTATGCCTACTGTACGTAGTCAATTTTATATTCTTCAGGCTCTGAGAAATAATTCATTTACACCCTGAACCAAGTGGCTAGGGGCTATTTCTTCTCCCTATACGTCTTGAATAGTGAAACCACCTCTTTTCGACCTTCCTTTTCAGCCTTTATGATTGGTGAAACGCCATCATCATCAATCTCAAAAGGGTCTACACCAGCTTCCCACATCAGTCGAACCATGTCCATTCTACCGTCTTTGGCCGCATACCACAAGAGATTGCGTCCTGAAGCAGGTTTTTGTCGAACGTCAACTCGACCGGTGTTGATAAGCATCTTTGTGATCTCGATATTTCCGTCACTTGCTGCTATCCATAATGGGCTTCGGCCGTCATAGTCCCTCACATCAACATTGATATCCTTTTGAGCAAGCAATAGAGCTACTATCTCGGCGTGTTGATAGGACGCTGCTGCATGTAAAGCAGAGCTATCAACTCCTCCTCTTGCATTTGGGTCTATGCCATCTTCCAATAATTTCTTGACCGAATCGAAGTCCCCATCTTCTGCAGCTTCATGGAAGGCTACTGTACGGATAGCTTGGTTCATGATGCCTCGTACTTTATTCTCCAGGATATCATCTTGCCAGGATGGATAGCGATGGTGGAGAAGTTGCCGTAGGACAGACTCCTTCCCATTGTACGCTGCTGCCCATGTAGAATTACCATAGTCACCGGCTTCCGTGGTTGTATCAGCGCCGTGTTCAAGAAATATTTGAACGATTTGGTCATGGCCCTGGAATGCAGCTGCATTAAGGGCAGTTCCATATTTACCGGATACAATATTGACTTGGGCTCCTCTCGCGAGCAGGGTTCTGATTATTTCTTCCCTGCCTTTATAAGCTGCTGCCTGGAGAGGAGTGCCATATATTCCGTGTTGCATATGGATATCTGCTCCAGCATCAAGAAGTATCTGTACAAGCTTGCTGCTGTCTCTTGGAGAACGAACAGCAGCCTGTAGGGCACATCCGTATGGTCCGCATTCTTCATTGACATTTGCGCCTCGCTGAATAAGGGTCTTAACAATGGATAAATGGCTCTCTGAGGCAGCTGCGACCAACGCTGATCCCAGCATCCCGGATAAATAATTGACGTCTGCTCCATGGCTTAGAAGGAGATCAAACACTTCCTCATGACCCATACCAGCTGCTGCTTGAAGCAGGGTACCAAATCGACCACCCTCCCTGTGAACATCCCCGCCGCTTGAGATGTAGTACTTAACCCAGCTGATCAGCCCGTATTCTGCTGCTAAATGGGCTAGAGTTGCCTCCTTTCCCTGGACTTCGTTGAAGCGGCATTTACTTTCAAGGTCGGAGAAGTACCTCCAAACAAAGAATGTATTCTCCATGCGATGATATAAGTATGAAGGTGGACCATTATCATCCTTGGAGCAAAGCTCGGCTGCCTCGATGTGCTTAAAAACTGAATTAAGAGAATAGTGGAGAAACGGGAGCTGGCGGCAAAGTTGCTGAAAGAGCTCAATTGATTTTGTTAGACCAAGGACATCTGGCTCAGGTCGAGTCTTTGCTATATGTTGCAATTCGGCTATGTTTAAATAGTTTATACATGCTTCTGCGAGTCTCTTGTGACCCTGACGAAGTATGTCATCGACGGACCCGGAATCAAGGAGTTGAAAGCCACCGTGGTTTAAGAGGAAGTCTCTTACCGAGTCGTGGACGAGATGGATCGTAGTTTGGTTGTCCGCGTCAAATATCTGGCGAGCATACGCCGTGTTTATCGCCTTTCTAGTGCTTGTGTCCGTCAGGCCACCTGTGCGGACTCTGTGAAGTATATCCATTTGCTGATCACATTCAATAAACGATGAACAACTTTCCGCTTCGGCCTGGGATTTGTATCCATTCTTTTGAAATATCAGGGCATAGCGTAGCTCGGTCAAGCTAATCAATCTGACAGTGCAGAGAACCCATTGAAATAGGGACAAGGTTTCGCCAGGACGTTTCATGAGAGCGGACTTGAGAGCCTCTCTATAGAGGGACTCCAGCTTATCTGGAACATTTTCAACAATTTCTTGCATTCGTTCCATTGATTCACCGTGGTCATGGGCTTTAATAACCTTACTCACAACCAGAACAACCCACAGAAACACCCCCTGGGCTTTCTCGGCAATACGGTCCATAAGCTTGTCAATATATCGTCTCTTGAGCAGGGGTTTTAATTTCCTTTGGATGTAATTTTGGATATCATAATTGTTGTGTGCATCAATAATTAGTTCAGCGTAGTCCCCTACTTCTATGGGAGGGTAATGCCGACTGGAATAGCATATCTTCAAGGGGATATTTTTCTCAATGCTGGAAGTACGAACTGACTCGAAAAACGTAATGACATCTCTAGCCTCCTCGCATTCATGGAGAGCATCAATGAATATAAAGGCCGAAGAAACGGGCAGATCTTTCATTACTGATAGAAAAAAGGATTTCAGCTCGTCTTCACTCCATGCCCAGTGGCTATTGTGGAAACTTTTCTTTCGGCGAAAGATGGGCATAAACTTAAGGAAAATTTGTTTTGACTGTTGGAAGAGCTGGAACAGAAGTGATTTGAAGAGCCGAAGTTGAGGCTCCTCGGGGGTATTGGTAAGGTTGTCGAAGAAGAATGCTAGTTTGATCCCAGGACAGGTTGATTGCTCACTCCATAGTCTTGACATAGCAACCCTTACAGATGTCGATTTTCCAGTTCCCAGCTTCCCTTTAACCCGTAAAAGAGAATTCTTCATGTCTAAGTTGGATGTGTCTTTCCAAGAACAATATTCTTCTTTATCGAACAGCCAGGTACAAGTGGCTTGGACTTCTTGGTCAACGTTGTAGTCCCACATATCAGCTTCGGGGACGGACAAGGAACGTAGACATTCTATTTCCACATTAGTACAAGAAAAAAGATAACACTGGATAGAGCCTATACCTAGCTCTTCAGAAGATAGTTCCTCTACTCATTTATCAGTATAGTTAGTCATTTTAGCAAAGTCAAACGGAAAAATGGACATGTATAGTTACCGATATGTTCGGACTTGATATCCTGTGCCTTGTCTTGTGATATCTTATACTCGAGGCGAAGTTTGTTTGTAACCCTTCGCAGTTCACTTCCTACCTGTTGATATCCAGGGTCATCTTTACCTGTAAAACGACACATATCACGGTGGTTTGCATTGATATATTGGGCATTCTCCCTTGGGTCCCCGAGAGAAGAGGATATATCAGGAACTATCTATAATGCTTGGTTAGCTACTTTTCGCACCGGATGAAAATAGCATATCAAACCTTCCCCGTAATTCCAGGAAAGATTCCAAAAGCGAGGCTTTCTTGAAAAGTGCGGACAAGAAATCGTTCTTGATGCCATTGGCGCATAAAGTCATCATGAGCAACCTTGCTTTCATGGCTGCCATAATGCAAAGCACGTAAAATGTACGCGTTGGTGCTGAACATGCTGAATGCAACCATTTTTCTCATCATCTCACCGGACGTTGCCAGTCCGCTGCCATGATGGGGCGTCCCGAGGAAGAAAACTGCCTTGGTGGCATCTCTGATATCGAGCACGGAGGCATCTTCGTCCCTAGAGGCAAGGCGGAGGACCTACAGAGGTGAGACACTCCTTCATCTGAACCGTTGAAGAATAAGGGTATCTTAATAAACTGTACCTCCTTCACAATAAGGCCTTGGATAGATTGATTTGGTTAGCTGGCTGCCACTTAATACAGATGGGTGTTTCTGATGCAAATGAAAGAAGGGTGGCGCTTTTGACTTAGTTACCTCCAAAAGAGTGGGCCACAAAAATGATATATCGACCTCGCTGGAGAGCGTTAAACGTGGATATCAGCAGTTGACTACCAACACACTGCAACCACAAAAGAAGGTTGATGGACTCACACAATCGTCTCTACTTCGCCCAAGCGCATGCAGGAAATTTCTGGAATGCTCGAGGAGGCTGTTCTGGTTCGCTGGACCCGCGAAGAATTTGGATACCATCGAGTTATACCCAAAAGTCATAATTCGACAGTCGGGACACTCTTCTGGCAGCAGATCCAAGGGCCAGAAGATGTCTGTCTTGGAGTCTTCTGGCTGGCCATCGTCTGGCGTTAATTGATACTGCGAGTCCCTAACGGTAGGCTGGTCCAGGACAGCTGGTTTCTGCTGCCGGCCTCTGGATTTCGAGGTTTTGGGCGCGCGTGCTGTCCATGTCTTTCTTGCGTGGCCTTGAAATCCATGGACAAAGACGATGCTAGTAACGACCAAGGCTAAGGCGCCGCATTATTTACAACCGGGGAATCAAAGCAGCTGACTTACTCTGCGAAAGGGTCTGTCTTCTCGGGGGTATACAGGATACTGATGCCGTTGCTCAAGACAGACATGGTTATCAGCTCAAATATAGAGGTCTCTAGTCGATGGATCGTGTCACTTCCTTTGTAAAACCAAACCCCAGGGCAAATACCATGGAGCAAGCGCAAATCGGCTCTGGCTCGGACAGATCTTTATTGCACGGGTGAAGATGAGATGGACCTTTGACAACTGAAGCAGGAGTTCCATGCCGTTAATATTTGCAGGTTTGACATAAACGAAAGCCATCTATCCCAATTGCAGCAAGATGAGGCTAACAAGGGGAATTTTACGGGGGTAACTGGTGGCTGTGGAGTTCGGGGATCACAAGCTTCGCCCAGTCAATCACACGATGCCACGAATCAAAGAGTGCAGTCGAAAATGGAATTCTAATACGAGGAGCCCCTCCTGCTAGAGGGCTTTGCCAGCCCTATATAAGTGTTACGTGAATGGAAGGCTTCAGCTTTCAATGTCTAAGGGAACCTACTTCCTCCACTACCATACCTTACACAACTACCAGTCAATAGTGCGACAGTGATGATGTCTTCCACACGGATCTATAAAGCTGATGAGACTTACCTCCCTGCGGACGTCTATAACACTCTTCCTTGTGTCAACTTAGCCAAGGTAGATGAGGAAGAGCAAAAGTGGGCTGCAGCAAGGAGCGCCCTTTTGCAAACGATATCTGACTATGGCTTGGAGGATGTGTTTTCCCTTCACCTTCTACACAGGCACTATGACCTACCCGCCAACCATGCCATGGTCTATGAGCAGAGCCCTTACCCACCATCTGATGATCTTCCGTTCTTCGAGATATGTCGTCCCAGATGCATACAAAACCTTGAGGCGGCGAGAAAGCCTCGAGGGAAATTCTTTTTTTACCGTCAAGATACAGAAACAATGAGTGCTTACGAGTATACCACCGAACTCGGCCCTGATATAACTTCCACTGCCTATGAAAGCTTTATAAACGACTTCTGCCGCGAGTTACTGAAGCTGAAAGTAGAAAACGTGTTTGCTCTATCCCTTTCCTCGCCATCAGAAAATAGCAGAATCCTTTATGAGACTGAAGTTCCGGCCTATAAGGCAACACTGCGCCTCGAGAAGGCTGACTGGGTTCCAGATGGGTTTAGCACAGATTGGGTCAGTTCCACTGGCGAGATGGGTGGTGTCTATCCCCGTTGTGTTCCTAAAGGGGCTAGTAAGCCTGCGGATAAGCATTCAAGAAGACGCAACTCTGAACATCATAGGACTGAATATATCGGACCAACCGATTCAACAAGTGTCGGGGTCATCTGGGATGGCAAAATTTTGGATAATGATTCCGTTGCTTATAGTGTCTTACTGAAGGCGAGAGAACTGATTATCCATTGAGGATGAATGCTTTTGACATTCCGCTGGGCCTGGACCTCTTTACCAGTTAAATTATACAGGGAATGGGAAAGATTAAATGATCCAGATGAAATCTCAACGGCAGTTTTCCTCAGTCTTCTTGGTTCTAAATCAGGTTCTCCCGGCTGGATTCTGGTTATTCGAGGGCTGTCCTCCGCTTTACCATAGTTTGCTGTTTTGAGCAGAGATAGCATCTTCCGCTTTTCTCTAATTCATTTTATATTGTCAGATAATCACAGTAACTCGCCTTTGAACCATGATTAGTTAACTAGTTAACACAACTTTAGTCAATTAAAGACGAAACCAAAGAAATAATATATAAAAAAAGAATCCTCTCTTCATGGATGGCCGTTAAAACAAGTACATCTTATAAGGGACCTCGGATCACATCTTGAGCTGGGAAGGAGTTCTCAAGGCTGCGCCATATCGAGGGAATCGCCATGGAACAAGCGTGAATGAAAGTGTAATCAACCCAAGGATATTTCCCCAGCCTAATCCTAAATTGCTGTACATTAACGCAACATCCAGAACAAAAAAAGCGCCAAAAAGAGAGTAACCGAGCAAAGTAATAAGACCAAGCTACTTTAATAGTAGATGGCTGGTTCTGGTTTGGTCCGGCAAGAAGGACCTTGTTTCTGTTTTAGAAGTTCGTCACTAAGGATAGAAAAAAGACCCAGACCAGGGTTTATACCAATTTCGAGGTCCAAGTTATGCTGGGACAGCAATGTCTTCATCTCATCCATAGACCTCGTTAAACACAGATGTGAAGGTAGCGGAGAGCATGAAACGATTCCAAACATAATCTAGTATAGAGGGAGGTTAAGAGAACGAATAATATTGACATTTCAATGGGACAAGCAATGGTATGAAGACGCACCTTTTGAAATTTCTCCATTCCGAGTATATTATCAAGCTTAGGGACTTGGTTTGGATCAAACCATCGGGCCGATATAGTTATCGAATATCGCAGGAACCTATACCAGGTCAACCATGACAGAAGTTACGTTAAGTAGCCAGGAAAAAGGGGAGAAAAATCACGATGGATTCCAGTGGTTTCTCATCGCTCATTACATAAAGCCGAGTTTAAACTATAAATATCAGGCTATGACCTCTCCATTCGACAAAGCTACAAAGTTGTGGATGGGAAATATATTGATTAATTAAAACCTCAAGTGTCACAACAAACGTTGGAGAAGTTTTGATGGGTTTGATGAGCCGCACTGGTAACTAACTGCTCGTTAGTGTACGAAACTCTGTTAACTAAGTGGGACCTCGGCGTATCGGGCCGGACGTAACCCGTAACCCGCACGGGTCGCAACCTTCGGTACCTACCAGGTACCTAACTAGCGGACCAAGGAGTTGAAAATCTTTGGCCACAGCAATGTCGTGATACTCTCCGCTGAATGGATGCAAACATACCTGAAGTGCGTCTCTTGCTTCTGACAATGGTAGTGGAAGGGAGGCGGAAGACCTGCTTGCTCGTGTATCACCAGAGCCATAATTGCCAAGTTCCGAGTCATTGTCGTCTCTTCGAAAATTTCCTTTTCCTGTAGGTTCTTTGCCGTATTGGGATTGTATGAAAGCTTCATATGTAGCTTTTTCTACCTCCAACGCTTTGTTCTCTGCTTCTTTCTCAATCACTCGTAGGGTTAGCGCCTATATGCTCTGGTACGATGTTGCTCAAATATACCCTTATTATCAAATAAGTTGCTGATGGACATTTTCTCAAATGTACTGAGCTCCTTGGCTGTTATATGAGGCAATTCGATAACGGATGGTGAGTGGATATCCCTCGGTTTTTTCCACCAAAAAAAAAAAAAAAAAAAAAAAAAAAAATATGTGATAATAAATAGTGGGATGTAGCTGAGGCTCATGGATTCTAGTTGGGCTAGAGGAAGGTTATGAGCTGCTCGTACAATTGCCTGTACAACGAACTAAGCTGTTTGAATAAGTGCTGCCATTTTCATAGTTCCGTCTGCACTGCTTTTGTCCTTGATGTCACTCTCACCTAGGCCCCAGCTTTTGTGGAATTTCCATTCAAAGAGACCATTTTCCAGTAACCATTCAAATTGGTTTGGCTATATTACTTTGTCGCCGCGCTCGGTGCGATATCTAAGACTAAGCATACTAATATAGAACGCATGAACCAGTCTGAATTCCTTTTCTGTATACTTTTTGCAGTTCCGGACTATCTTCCTTGATTGACTCTATTCCTACAATCCTTTAACGGCAATTAATTCGGGTGCCACGACGGATTTGAGGAATAAAGCTAGCTTGTGCAAAAAGGCAACGGACTTTCGATTGCATACCCGTAGGTGTATAATAACCCAAGCACAGATAAATATCGTAAAGCAGCAAGAGCTTATTAGTTTTTGTGTACCGCGGTACGGTGACTCATTGACCCACCCTACCAAGTTCGTCCCGTTCTTTGGTGGAGTAGAGTTTGGGCCTGAGGCGTGTAATCTGGGTAGCGCGGTAATCGTAGGGCCTATAGAGGCTCTGAAATTGACTAATACGAAGGGTTCACGAATAAGAAGATGTTTTAGCGAGTGTTTGGGTTGGTTTGAACCGTTGTTATGCTGTATTCTTCTGAAGGGTGCTGGGTATGTGGCTGTTAGAAAGCAAGTGTTATTGGGATGAGGGATTTGTTATTTTAGTCATGGCAGGATAGAAGCAACAACGGACTAGAAAACTCGAGTCCAGGAACGTCTGCATCCGGGTATATATAGACCAAGGGCAGATGGCATAACCAACTGGTAAGCAGCATGAATATTTTTCCTGCATGCATAACACATAAGCAGAGCATAGTATTTAAGCCGACTGGCAAGCAGAAGTTGCTGTATCTTCTCTTTCCACATCATTGCTTATGCATGCGTACGCTCTCAAATAATAGGCATGCTATGAATAGTAGGCCAATAATAGATTTAGAGTGTTGTGAGAGAGCTGCAATTACGCGCCGGCTGGAGTGACACAAGGTCTTGGCATGCAAGGGTCGGCCCGCGGGAGCAACCCACCACCGATGGAGGTGGTTATGACCCGACACGTTCTTTGCCCAAAGTCACAACTCTCAGATTTTATTGCATCAAGGAAACATCACTCCCCGTGTGGGGTGTCGTGCTTTGGTATCACTGCTTGAAAGGTTGCTGCTCCTTGTTGCATCCCGAGTCCCAAGCCGAACCCATACACAACCTGGTATCCAATCCATTTCGCATGACCTGTAGTTAACTATGCCAAACGTGCTAAATAACCCCGCTCCAATCGTCATGATTATAGCACCAGCGACCATAAAAGGTGCAGCCTATCCAACAACCTTGGATACAAATATGCCAGCAAGCAGGGTGCCAATCATGAGCGATAGCAAAAGAGGTATATTCACCTCTCCCGATTCGACAGCACTGGACCCCTTGATTGCTTGAAACCATATCGGTAGGTAGTAAACGATCGTCATCATCGAACCGCCAACGCAAAAAAAATAAAAGAAGCTCCCGAACACGGTGCGTTGCGTGAATACGCTCATTTTCAGCATGGCTCGCTCTCGCTGGTATATTTCGTTCTAGAGAAAGGATACAGACAAGATTCCGGCCACAACAAAGAGGGCAATGATCCGGCCATTACTCCAGGCATAGACAGATCCACCCCATTGAAGTGCAAGCATGAGAGATACTATCCCTGGGACAAGGAAAATGATACCCATAGGGTCCAGATCGAGGAGTTTCTTCTTTATCAATTTTGCACGCTATTTCCTTTCTGAGGACCGCATTGTTCTTCCATAGTGTGCGTATTTGGGAAGAACCAGAGCAGCACCAGAAGTACCATACCGCCAATAGGCAGGTTGATAAGGAAGCACCACCTCCATGAGGCATTCGATGTCAAAGCTCCTCCCCACGAGAGGCCCAAGAACAGCTGAAAGACCAAATGTTGCGCCACCAAATCCCATGTACATGGGTCGTTTAGCCAAGGGTACTGCTTCGACGATAAGGACCATGGAACCAGAGAAGATAGCTGCAACGCTCAGCCCTTGGATTGCGCGGCCGACAATTATACTGACGGAATTCTGTGCGCCACCACAAACAACCGGATTATTGCAGCTCGTTGGTTAATATATATAATTATGTATTCAACTTACCAATGAGACAGGAAACATGCTAGAGCAAATCGCAAGCATGATGATACCGAGAGCAGCAGACTTTGGATAGTTCTCTTGGAAACAGCGATTTACTTCACAATCTCCATTCCCCAGGTTGCTATTATCAGGCTGGGATAAATTTTGGCTCATATTTGGTGACATGAAAGGGGCAATACACTGAAGGAATAGTTGGGTTTGCTTGTTTGCAGAATAAGTGGTAAGACAAAAAACTATATTTTAGGCAACTTGGATACGAGATGAATGGAATCATTGAGGAGATGATTATCAGTATAAACTACTCTTCTTATACATCGGCCCTTTACTGCTCTTGGGGTATATTTTGTGCTCGGGCGGTACGGGCCCGTTACTATGAACCCGAGCATACACTGTTCGGGCGTCATGTTCACCGGGCCCGTGTTCCCCGAGAGTTAGACGGCTTGCTCGTATACAAAGATATCCATGGTTTAAGATGACTGTCGATGGGCAAGCTCGAAAAATGATATTAATTATTAAAATGGTATGATCACGATGGAGGAAACATCCCGCAGTGCGATCTGGGATTGATTGCTGCAGAGCATATCTCCCAACATTTTTATATAAATAAACAAAATAAGCATCTCTGCCTCACAACTGAAGTAACTTCAATTTTTTCTCCCAGAAAATTTCCAACAGCCTGGCAGGCTGTCCCATTCAGAAACATCTAGGTTGCTAGCAACGGAGGAGAGATACCGGCACTGGACACAGTTCTTTTGCGAATGTACAGTGCCCACAGCTCGGAAATTGGTCGAGGCTACTACGAAATGGCCAGGGAGCAGCGAAAAGAACGAGACGGCATACAATATAGCATTTGACACGCATCTTCCATTTTTCGACCACCTGGCCATGTCAACAGCGAGGATGGAGCAATTTTCTGGGTACATGCGAAGCGTAACAACCAGCGAAGGTGTGGATGTAAAGCATCTCATTACCGGGTATGGTTGGGCCAATCTTGGAGATGCAACAGTAGTGGACGTACGTAAGCAAATATACCCGTTTTTAATATCGCAATCCCGTCGGAGAGTAGCAATTGCAGCACTAACAGCCACAACAGGTGGGAGGATCAACTGGCTATGCTAGCATTGCCCTGGCAAGAGAGTTCCCCAACTTGCGATTTGTTGTCCAGGACTTAAACACCAACAATGAAGGTGGAAGGAAGGGTATTCTGCAAGAGGACATCGAGATTCAATCTAGGGTCTCATTTCAGGTGCATGACTTCTTTAACCCACAGCCCATAAACGGAGCGGATGTTTATCTCCTGCGCATGATTTTGCACAGCTGGTCAGATCGTGAGGCGCAAAGTATCATCTCGCACATACTGCCAGCAATGCAAACGGGCGCACGGCTACTTATCATGGACTCGGTGCTCCCTCTACCTGGTGCGGTTGCGAGCACACGGGGGAGCCTCCTGCGTGTTCGAGACCTGACCATGATGATGACATTCAACAGCAAGGAGCGAGCTGCCGAGGACTGGGCGAGTTTGCTTCAAGAGACCGACGCGCGCTTGAAGATTGTCCGCATGCAGCAGCCCGTGGGGAGCCTGATGACTGTGATGGAAGTAATGCTGGATGGCAATTGAGTATACCAGGGCACTGTAACTTGTAACTAGATGTTAGTGCTTCGTACTCGATAGGATAAACATACACTCAATGGTGATGGATGTCGTTGGCAAGATGTTCGAGGTTGCTCGTGTGCTTCCTTTGAGGACAGTTTGCACGTCTTGGCGCTGGCCGCCTTTCACTCAGCAGCTTTCAGGCAGACGACGACGACGACGACGAAACACCAGACAACTCGCATCTCCTGCAAACAACGTCGACGTTACGCTGCAATGATGTTTATCCTCCAGGTAAGTTGCTGTTGGGCTGGTAGCTGACACCGGTCTCAGTCTCTGTCCGGGATCCTGGGATGCAAGGGGTTGTTTGTGGACGGACGGCTGATCTATTTGGCGTATCTAGGAGCTCGCGCGCATTCTTGACCGGCCCTTTTTCCCATGGAAGAAGATCATTGTGGGCTTCTCGCTAGGCCAGTATCTCCTTGAAGGCTTCCTCTCTCTTCGACAGTACAAGATCTTGCAAGCAACAAAGGTTCCCAAAGTCCTGGAGGGCGAGGTCTCCCAGGAAGTGTTTGATAAGAGTCAGGTAAACTATGCGCGCGCATAGCACATTATGTCTGCTGCCTATCTATTTGAAGCTATTCCAGCTAACGACCATATCATAGGCTTATGGACGCGCAAAGGCAAAATTCGGCTTCGTGAGTGGGCTATACAGCCAGATCCAGAACCTGGCATTCATCTACGGCGATGTTCTCCCAAAAATATGGGGAGCAACTGGTCTTCTACTCGCGAGATATGCCCCCGAAGGCTTCAGAGGGGAGATCACTCATACCCTGCTGTTTGTCTTTGTTTTCAACATCATTACAACGATACTGTCCCTCCCAACCTCGTACTATAGCACCTTTGTCCTGGAAGAGAAGTTTGGCTTCAATAAGCAAACCGTCAAGCTCTGGGTTATGGACATGCTCAAAGGCCAAATGCTGACCGTCGTCCTCGGAACCCCCATTATCAGCGCTATCCTGAAAATCGTACAGACTACTGGCAACAGCTTCTTCTACTATCTCTGGATGTTTGGAATCTTTGTCCAATTGTTTGCCATCACTATCTACCCGATTGCTATCCTTCCTCTGTTCAACAAGCTCTCCCCACTTGAACCCGGCGTCTTGAAGACCTCTGTCGAGAACCTAGCTAAGCAGCTCAAGTTCCCGCTCTCCGAGTTGAACGTTATTGATGGAAGTAAAAGAAGCGCCCATAGTAATGCTTATTTCTTCGGACTGCCATGGAAGAAGCATATTGTTATCTACGATACCTTGATTGAGAAGAGCGAAACTGAAGAGGTCGTCGCTGTTCTGAGCCATGAACTGGGCCACTGGAGCTTGAGTCATACCACGAAGCTGTTTGGAATTGGGCAGGTGCGTTACTTTTTTTTAAATATCATTATTAAACGGCTTACTGACATTCTATAGTTCCACATGTTCTATATCTTTGCCTTGTTCTCTGCCTTCGTTAACAACAAATCGCTCTATCAAGATTTTGGCTTCTACAACGAGATGCCAATCATGATTGGATTCATCCTATTTTCGGACGCACTCGCACCAACCGATGCCATCATCAAATTGTTGATGAACATTCTCAGCAGAAAATTCGAGTTCGAAGCCGGTTGGTCAATCTTCATGACTCTTTTCCTCAGTTCCTAAAGTTTCTGGTACTGACTATTTTGATAGACGCGTTCGCCGTGAAATTGGGTTATTCCAAAGAATTAGCAAGGTCTTTGCTGAAGCTCCAGATTCAAAACCTTTCTACCATGGATGCGGACTGGATGTACGCAAGCTACCATTACTCGCATCCAATTCTTTCCGAGCGCCTTGCTGCCCTGGGTTGGAAGGGGGGCAAGATCACCGGAGGAGAAAAAGAGCCGGTTGACTGCGATAAGCCAGCCAAGGCAGCTGACAGAGAGCTATAATCGAAGTTAGAATCCGTTCCACGATTTTTAGGATCGTTTTCATTTCTTATTTCTCCTGTCTTGTTTTATTTGATTGGGTTCTTGTATCCTTTAGCATGGAAAACTTACCGAGTTGGGCAATGACTTGTTGTAAAATAACCAACAACCATCAATAGACCATCGGCGAAAGGGACGGTCATAAAAGTTCAATTCAGATCTCGGTCTCATCATCCTCGTTTTCTTTCCTGGCCGCAGCCATCTTCGCCTTTTGCTCTTGCTTGCGTCTCTGTTTCTTCTGTCGTTTGCGCTCTTCCTTGTCGATTTTGCCCTCCTGAACATCCTCCACGGCTTCAATATTGTCCTCTACAGCAACCACCTCTTCATCTCCGTCTCCGGCCTCCACAATATCTGTCTGTTCTCTCTCGTAGCTCTGTAAATCTTGCCATCCGCTGACCGCGGGAGTTTCTCGCTTTTTGCCGGCCCAATTCTGGCCATCAGTTGCACTGTGGGAATGCAGCTCGAATATACCACCGGCAGCACCACCTTCATTCTCTAGTTTGGCGTATATAAGATCTTTTCCGAGCACTTCTCCAGCTAATCCGGCCTGGACTCGCTTCAGGTTGTGTATCACTAGGTTGGGAGACGACCCAACGCCAGCGGCAATTGGGCCTTGTGGTGAGAGCGTAGAATCTGGCTGGAATCCCGGGTCTGACGCCGCGCGATCGAGATAGGCTGTAAGGAATTCATGAGCCTCTGCTTGGGATATGCGCTCGCTCCTAAGTATGGTGGTGGCAGGCAGCGGAGTTGGGCCTGCTTGAGATGCCATTTTCCTAGGTTTCACTAATGAATTCAAACGACCGCCAGATCAAATACCGAGTAATAAATTCAATACAATTTGTTTCTATCAAATAATCAAGGTGTTAAATTGTGAGTTTATTGTGCAATTGGATCCTCGTCTTCGTCTTCTGCGGCCTGTCGTTCTGAAGATTAAATTAGTTTTTGGACATGCTTTTTTTTTTCGGTCAAGCCAAAAAAAAAAAAAAAAGGTCCGTGCACATCTTGAACCTGCCTCGAACTTTCGTTTCAATCAACGAAGAAGCCGGAATAAATCTACAAATAAGTAGCAAAGATGTTCAGTTCACAGGTTTCGAGGGTCAAACCCTTTGCGATCACAAGATGTCTCTTTGAAAGAGCTCCGAGCAGTATCTTAAGGTGAGTGGCCCGCAGGTTGCAGCAGTTTACCCGCTATCCCAGATCTTTTCTCTGACATCTGATGGACAGCTCGACCTTACAAAAAACTACAAGATCCTTCTCCGCATTCAGTGTCTCGCGGCCCACCCTGATAGTGCCTCAAAGAAGTTCAATTGTCTCCCAAATACCATCTTCATCCTCCGTTCTACGCCCAAACCCGATATCAAGCCCCTTGGCCACAAGCCCAACTACCGCCCGTGGGTTCTCATCCACCGCCTCCCTGGGCGTTAAACGAGATACATACAACCCTAGTCGGAGGATCCAGAAGCGGCGCCATGGATTCCTGGCCCGCGTGAAAAGCCGTGGTGGTCGTGGAGTGTTAGCGCGGAGACGTTCGAAGAACAGGAAATACATGAGTTGGTAAACCGGGTTGGTGAATCGTATACGGATATGTTCTACACACATTCCTCGCAATATATGAGGAATGGGGTTTGAGACTTCACCTTAATTAAATTGAAGTCCATAAAAGGTGCTGGCTTACCCTCATGCCAGAGTTGTGAATTTAGCCTGCAATTACTTAATTGTCTAAGGGAGCAGAACAAACTTGTACAATAGTGTGCTATAGAATTTTTTTACCCACGACATACTTATTTTGAAACCTCTACAATCTACACAATGATAAATATGGAAGCTTTCTCCGAGCTAAGACTTTGCAGTGAGAGATGGTTGAATAAATTAACAATATCTTAACATACTTATTTGAACTAGTTATGCCTGAAAATAGTTTTATTTCATAACTATCATTTGCACATTATTCTCCATTTTGTCCCTTTTTAAGTCCCGACCTAGAAGAGAAACAATTTTATCCATGCTTCGGAAAAGAGGCGGGAAAAGCAAAATAAGAGAAGTAGAATATTTTGACGAAAGAGGCAGAGTTAGCGAGACTAAAGGAGAATCGGAACGCATGAGAGGCGTATGCAACTGCTCGACTATAAGAGATTATGCGGAAGGTGAGGGTGAAAGCGAGGAGGAAAATATCATGAGCAAGAAGAAAAGGGAGAAAACCAAGAGAACAAGTGGGATATAGTTACTTGAACTTGGAACATGCTTTTGCTTTTTGCTTTTGAAAAAAAAAAAAAAAAAAGCCCTACCAGATATTCGTAGAGACGAAGCGGGTTTGAGAGTAGAGGCGGGCCATTCATTCCGTCAGGAGCTGAAATTGTAGTTTGTCTGGTAGACATTTGAAAGAGTATGATGATAGTTGCTTTTTATAGTCTCGAGTCGATTGGCAGATACACGGATGGCCCACCCCTACCCAGTATAGCTCTCTGGCTCCGCCGCCTCTTCTCTATAGCCCCTTTCTGGCAGCCGTACATCTCTTAAGAGTGTAAGTGCCGTTGAATGAGCGGTATCAAACTCAGTTGGAGATAGGCTCCAACGTGTTACCACTATGATACATGTTAGACGTTATTCTCTCAGGGAAAATATGTAAAAATGAGTACTTACGCGACAATATTGGCCCAACCAATAAGACGCCAATGCTTGTCAACTCTTCGACTGAGGGCAATCTTCTCTCCAATTTCTGTACAAGCTGGGCCAGTCAAGCTCAGCTTGGCGGCATCTGCCTTAACACCCATGACCTTTGCACCCGTGGCGGTCGAACCGATGTTTACCATGAGAACTTCGTTCTTACTGAGCTTAGCAACCTTTGCCTGTTTTCCATCGGCAGTCTTGACACCAAGAAGGCGTCGAAGAAGGAAGTAATTGACCTCGATTTCACTGTAGATCGCAGGGAGACGGCCACGGTGACCAAGAACGAAACCGAGCAGACGATCAGCACGGCAAAGAGTGGGGTCAATTCTGGTTCCAACACCGATGAGTCCACCGGGAACGGCGAATTTGAGGTCGTTCTGCTCGGCAAGCAGGGTTACGACACGGCTGAAGATAGGGCGACACTGAATCTTGCCCTGTTCGTCCTTGGTGACAATACCTGGTCGAATCTCGATTTCGTCCCCGAGCTTAAGCACACCGGTCAAGATACTTCCACCAGCAACGCCACCTTTGAGGTCTTCAATTTCAGAACCGGGCTTGTTGACGTCAAAGGACCGGATGATGATCATGTGAGGGGGAGCAAGGAAGTCCCTGACTGGAACTGGGATGTGGGAGACTAGGTATTCATTGACGGCATCAATATTGTACTTGAGCTGAGCTGAGATAGGAATAACGGGTGATCCATCGGCGACTGTTCCTCTGATGAACTTCAATATGGACTGGTAGTGCTGCAGGGCGCCGTCCTCGCGCATCAGGTCAACCTTATTTTGGAGGATGATGATATGGTTGAGCTTCATGATCTCGATAGCAGCCAGATGCTCAGAGGTCTGGGGCTGTGGGCAAGTTTCGTTACCGGCAATGAGAAGCAGAGCGGCATCCATGACGGCGGCACCTGAAAGCATAGTACTCATGAGAATGTCGTGCCCAGGGCAATCGACGAACCTACACCCGGTTAGTCATATATTCAAGTATACATATATAAACAATACGACTTACGAAACATGTCGAAGGAGTCTGTATCTGCCTGTGCATCCTTCTCTCTCGCATGGAGGGTCAACCTCCTTGTCGCTTTTGAAGCTTCGGTAGCAAGTCGGCCTGGGACAGGCCTTGTTGTCACATCTGTACACCTTTGCATTGGCATAACCCAGTTTGATGGTAATATTTCTCTCCAGCTCGTTCTTGAATCTGACGGTTTGCACTCCCGAAATAGCCTTGACAACAGTTGATTTTCCGTGAGCGACATGTCCGATGGTACCAATATTGATAGTTGCCTGTCTAGCAATAATCTCGGGCGTCAGCGGTGTGAGAGTAGAGAGATCGAGAGTCGAAGGGTCTGGCTGCTCGGGAAGCTCTGGCTTCTTTGCCTGCGCAGGCTGTTTTAGAGCCGATTTGAGCGGTGTCTGTGAATCATCTTCGTGGTCGAGGGGCTCCTGGTCGTCAAGGTTATCGACACCATTGGAATCGCCGAGCACGGGCGAGCCGGGCTGCGACTCGTCGTCTGAGAAATCACTGTGCGTCGCCATGATTGCAATCCGCCTGTTCTGAGCTAACGGTGCGTTGGTGGTCGTGGATGTGGTTCTTCGCACACAGAGAAGTTGGAGTTTTGGCGGGTTTTATTTGGTTATTTTTCGATAAACTACGCTCAGTGGGGTAACTAAGCAGGCGACGTTCCTTAGTGTTCGCGGGCTGGGGGCTGCGGGTTCAAAAGCTCGACTCTGATATTAATCGTATGGACAGGAGGCTTGTTTCCTTAGTTCTTTGGTTTCCCTTCCTTCGTCTCTGTCTTTTCTGCGGACTTTTTTACTGTTTTATTTTAAATGCGAACTTTTTTTGAGTCACAATATATTTTTTAGTCAAGATGGGCACGTGACTTGTAGATTTTCCGTAAGACAAAAAAAAAAAAAAAAAAACGCCTGATTTAAATACTTAGGAGAAGAAAGCAAAGAAAAAGAGTAGTTGGAGAGGAAGATGGATAAATTTTGGCTGAGGATGTATAGTCTATGGAGGTGGCAGGCGGCGGGTTAGCAGTGGTGGACGAGGTAGCGGACAGGGTTGCCCATGAGACTTTGATCTATCAAATATAAAAAATCCACATCTTTTTGATCGTTGGCAGACGGCCAGGTAGAGTAACAGCTTGGCTGCTAGAGTTTTATCATGTGCTATCAGAATCTTCATTGTCTTCATCTTCGTCATCATCACCTTCTTCAGAGCTACCCTCGCTGGGCTCTTCTTCTCCTATAGGCTCTCGCATGATAAAGGCCTTCATGCAGGTTATTCGGTTACCGGTTTCGTAGGCACCTAGTAATCTACCTACCTGCACAGGCTGACCGGGCTTAGACGGTTTGCCTCGCTTGGCTTGCTTGGTCTTCTGGATTTCTTCTGGTTTGATGGTCCATATTCTTAATGCACCATCACTGCCAGAGGTGATGACGATGAACTGTATAGTCTTTGAGTTCTCCTGGAGCGGGAGGATTTCAAATTCTTTTATCCTGCTGGACTGGCCATGAGCCTTGCCACCGAGCTGGAAGAGGAACGGCGCCGTCGGAATGGTGGTGTCACCTCCCTCAACAGGCTCCTCTAACGAGTCTGACTCTGTAGAGTAAAAGACGAGTCTGCCGTCTTCAGTAGAGGCTACCAAAAGCTGCTTCTTCTCGTCATCAGTTTCAATGTCAAGATAGCTGATGTGGTGTACCTTTGTGAATGGCGAGGTGGCCACTCTACACTTTGGAACCGAGTCCTACTCCAGTCAGTGTGTGAATATAAAGGTAGCAAAATTAAAAAAGACGAGTACAACATACCACCCCGAAGACAACGATACCTCGTTCAAAAGCAACAGCGAATTCTTCTCCGGCCGAATCCCAGCGGATCTTCCTCCCCTCGCCGGTCCCCCACTTCCCTTCCTTCGCGGCAGTCAACACCTCCCGCCCAAAATTCAACACACCAGCTTTCCGGCCGGTAACCAGGTTCCATAGCCTCATGCTCTTCTCCCCCTTGCCCACGGTAAGCATCAGCTTCATGCTAGGATGCACGGCAAAGTCGTTGATACCGGCCGGCGCACCACCAACGGGAGCGGTGTCCCCGCTCGGTCTTCCCTGAGTCTTGGGGTGCGGTGCCTTAATCGACGAGACGACTGTCCAGTCTCTGGTCCTTGTGACTGCTATGGTATTGTCCTCTGACGCAGATAAAAGCTTCGACCGAGTAGGGAAATGCATGGCCGTAATGCTGGCCGAGTGGTGCATGAGAGCTCCCAGTTCGCGATTCCGGGGGTTCTCCAGCACTTTGTTGCCTGCCAGCGATGGCAGAGGCACAAGGCCAGTATCTGCAGACATTGGCGAGACCGATAAACTGTACAGGTTGATGCGGTCGTCTGTGCCTCCAGTAGCCAGCAGGACATTCTGTTGTTGCTTGTTTTCTGCGCTGGGCATTGGTGAGAGCGCCAGACAGCGAACTGCCGACGTGTGGGCCTGGAACAAAAATGTATCCGTGAACTTGACTTGATCTTCGCCTTCTCCTACATTTTCAGGCCGCTCCTTGGAATTCTCTTCATCGAGGGATATCGTGGCGTTGATGCCATGGAGGACTCTTTCGTAGGAGCCCGCGACTATCTGCACTGTCGTCTCTCTCCTGGCCATCTTTTCTCCCTTCTCTGCCGGCACCTTCGCCTGCTCCTCCTCCCTCTTCCGCTTCAGATTGTCTTCCTCTCCGTATGTTCTTCCTCCTCCCTTCTTCTTCTTCTTCTTCTTTTTTTTTTTTAAATACTATTTCTCTCTGCCTTTGCCGTCCTTTTACTTCGTCCTCCTCGCCAGGCTTTTTTTTTTACCTTTTTCACCTCCGGGGGGCAGTAACGTTTTTGCGGATCAAAGTATCTCCGCTTTGTCATCTTAGTCAGCAAACTGCTACATCTCGAAAAGCAGCAAAAAAGCAGAAAACTCGTAATTTTGTCGAACTTCACGCAGAAAAAGCGACGTCCACCAACTGCAGCCATCAAAACAACGACCACCGCCATCGATTCCATCTCATCAGAGTGACGCATCGCGCTTGTATGACCCCCGAGAGGCCCCTGGCCCTCGCTTTTTGCGTGTCAATCGGATGCCGCCGCGAGAAAAGCCTCGATGCTCTCTGACGGGCCGCTCACATCCAGACATGACGAGATCGCGTATGTAAACCACCCTTTTTGACCGCTCCATCGTTTCCCTCGCCCTCAGTTTGCTTGGGTTCATTCGCTGACTTTTCTTTCTCCAGGCGTTGTGTGTGGTCGCGGAAGCGCAAGCTGAGCGAGCTCTACTATGCGACGGCGACCTTCCCCCATCCCAGCGACGCCGGCGGCCACAGAGAGCCCCTGGCCCTCCAGAAGGAGGCCGCATTCCTCGACGCCAATGACATCTCAAAGTACGTGTTTGACCCATTTTATGCTGCGGGATATACCCTTCTCTGCTGGACTTCAGGCGGGTTCCAGTGCTAATAATTGCGTCCCTACAGAGGCCGATTCTACGACGAAAATACCCTGCCCGAACGGCCACGGCTCGAGACTGTGCTTGCTGAGTGTGAGAGTAAATATGGACCGCCGCGCCCAGACGAGCTCCATCGCCCGCAGACACCGGTTCCCCAACCGGCAGCCGGCATAACCAGTCATGAACAGCCGGCTCAAGGCCCCCTCGCAGCAGGCAACGATCAACCACAGCTCACTGTATCCTCAGCGGGCGTCCAGACCACAGAACCGCCAGAGCCAGTGCAATCTGCTCCTTCAGTCCAGCACCAACCCAATGGCATAGACACGAGCCATCCTCAGCATGCCGCCGAAGCTCCCGCGAAACCTACCTCTTCACCCGAGACCGCTGTTCAGGCTACCACCCAGACGACCGGTCACCCTCTCTCACCTCCTGAAACCAACCGTACCTCTTCCTTCAACGACCGCCTGGGTGTCGCGCCTATCATCGTTCCTCCAAAAGCCGCCGAGCCCGCTTCCTCGCCCATGTCAACCGGCCCGTCCTCCAGTCATACATCTGCCACCGAACGGTCCCCTGCTTCTAGCTCGACCGAATCAGTCGCCTCTATCGCCGAATCTCCCTCAACCGGCAAACACTCTACCGACGAATCCCCTTCAAATGCTCAGTCACAGCCTATGTCCACCGCCGTACCCTCAACCCCGGATGAACAGCTACAGCTCGAAGCTGCCATGTCCATTCGAAACTCTACACCTAAACAGCCTATGACAGGCCAGGACAAAGATGGAGACCAACACATGATTGAAGCCCCAACAGAGCCCAAGGAACCGCATTTAAAGCGGGAATCTACGGAGTCAGTCACTAACAGTAGACCGTCCTCCTCGTCTGGACCTCAGGTGGTGTTGGATGGCACAACTGTTACGAAACCAGTCGAGAGCCAGCGGCCACCTGCCGAACAGCAGCACCCACGGCCAGAACGGATGACTACCAGGGTCGCGTCCGGTGCAATTCGGCACAAGTCTGTATCAGAAATCCTGGGGGAAAGCCCGAAACCAAGCGCAACTCCAGAAACCGAACAGCACCCGAGGGACTCACGACGGTCATCCGTGTTTGACAAGCAGACTGGTACTTCGTACACTTCCCCAGCTTCACCATCCAAATTAAGGCTGAGCGAACGACCAGACAAGGAGAGGAGCAGGCTGTCAACGGTTATTTTTCCTAAGACATCAAGCCAGGAAAAGGAAAAGGCCATGCAGCTGGCTTCCCGACGAGATGAAGAAACCCGCAAATCCCCAAACGAGGAACAGGACTACTTATATACCCTCTTCCAGGCAAAGGCCCACTATCCCCCCCGTACTATGAGCCTCAATACCCTTCTGTCTACAGCCCACAAAACCCTCAGTACTTCCAACCACTTCCTCGAATACCACGAACAAATGGATTGCCGCACCTTGAAGCGGATTTATCAGCTACAGCATTCCAACAGATGGGCTCTCCGGCAACTACAGCGTTCCCCGGAACCCCCGAGGCAGGCCACTCACTGGGATATCATGCTGGATCATGTAAAGTGGATGCGAATGGACTTCAGAGAAGAACGAAAGTGGAAACTCACGGCTGCAAAGCGCTGCGCAGAGTGGTGTGCAGACTATGTTGCGAGTGAGGAAGACTGTCGACGCTCTTTACGAGTACCTGCTAAAATTCCACCTCCACCGGCAGCAGAAGCCCCTGAAACCGATAAGCTCATGGATTGCCACCCGGATGAAGCGCTGCCAAATAATCATCCCACCCCTGATTTGATCCATTCGGCAGATGACGACTCAGTTAGCGATGGTTTCAATGACGAGCATCCCGATTTTGATGATGGAAATGTTCCTGCTGCCATCTTCTCATCTGGCTCGGATGAGTTCACATTCCGCATGGAACGAACCATTGCATCGGAAAAAATACTTGGAGAACTTCCACTTTACTGTCCCGTACAGATAGCTCCGGAAACTAATAAACCTGCCTTTAAGATTCAACCTGATGATGTATGGAAGACGCAGCTACTGCCTGTCTCAAAATACGCTCAGGGAACAATCCAGTTCAAAGAAGATGGCCCGCCTAGAAAACGAAGCCGTTATGATTACGAACAAGATGCCTATCATGATGGCGAGGAAGAGAACGGGTACGGATCTCTCTCACCAGAACAAGTGGACGTCGCTCTCTTCTCCCCAGAATACAAAACCCTCCGCGATCGAATCCATCCGGGCAACGCATTCCGTCCTCCAACCGAGTACATTATGCCGCCCCTTGGGTTCTATGAATCACGGCAATCATCCCACTGGACTTTGGCTGAGGACGACGAGCTTCGAAAACTAGTACAAGAATATTCTTTCAACTGGTCCCTTATCGCCAGTTGTCTAGCTCCGCGGTCGTCTTTCGTTTCTACTTCTGAGCGAAGAACTCCTTGGGAATGCTTTGAGCGTTGGATTAGTTTAGAAGGCTTACCCCCTGATATGGCGAAGACTCCGTATTTCCGAACATACAATGCACGCCTTGAAGCTGCTCAAAGAACAATTATGAACGCCCAGCAACAGGCGGTTCAACAGCAACAACAACAGCAGCAGAATGGTGGTCAGGTAAATCCAAGCGCTCAGGCATTGATACGGAGGCGTACTGCACAGCCATTACGGGTGGAGAGAAAGCGGTCTTCAAGGCATTTGGCACTTCTGGCTGGGATGCGGAAGCTCTCACAAAAACGAGAGACAAACCTTCAGAAGCAACAGCATGGTATGGATGCATTACAAGTTTTTTTTTCTTGTCTTTTTTTTTGCCTCTGATTGTCCTTCCCTGTATATATCACCCCCTTGTGTCACCGAGCTGACATTTTTTTCTTTTTTAGCCACACAACTCGCCTCTATGCGCAAGGTCAACGAAGCGACCCAGCCACATCCGCCAATCTCGACACCTCAGGAATTCAGCCAGTTGAAGCATGAGAGGGAACTCAAGTTTTTGGAGAAACAAGAGCAGTACCGTCAGCAAATGATTGCTCATCAGCGGGTATGATATTTTCTAGCGGAGCATACATAGTTTCCACCCAATCACTGACTTGGTACTTTTAGGCTGCCATGGCCCAGCGTGCGGCTCAGCTTAACCCATCTGGTCAGTTCAATGGTATGCCAGTACGCCCTCCAGCGGCTGTTCCCAATGGCGCTGGTGGTGTCCAAGTTCCCATTGCAAATGGATTGGCGAACGGCATACCAAATGGCGTGGCCGTCTCTCAATCTCGCCCACACCCAGGAATGGCAGCCATGCCCAATGGTCTCCCAGCCACCGGTCCAATCCCAGTGCCTAATGGGATGTCGATGAAGATGATGCCTCAACAAGGCCTCCAACAGCCTATCAATGGTCGGCCAGGTCTTCCTGTCCAAACATCCCCTGACAACTCGCGTATCATCCGTGAGGCCAATCGTCTTCAAGAGCAACAACGTCTTCTGCAATCCCGCCAGCAACAACACCAGTTCCACGGTGGTCAACAAGGCTTCGCTCCACAACAGGGACCTCATTCTTCCCCCAACATGAATGCCACACCCGCAACTACTTCAAGCAATCCTGCCCTCATGGCCGCTTTCCAAGCTACAACCAACAGTGGAAGTCCGTCATTTGCCGCTTCATCTCTTACGCCCGGCGTGATGCCTGCCTCTTCTCCTCGCATGAACCACCCATCCACGTCCCTCAATAATGCTCCATCATTACCCAACGTAAACAATATCCAGGCCTCTCTCCAACGCCTTCATCCCACTATGTCTCAAGAACAAGTCTCGAAACTTGCTACAGAGCGTCTGCAGCAGTATCAACAGCAACGGTTATCACAAGCAGCTCTAAACGCTGCGGCAGGTAACCTTGGTGTCGGCAACCTACCTTCTAACTACCAGGCTGGGAACTCTGGGCAGCAAATTCCCCAGCAAGGCACTGTGAATGGTGTGTCCTCAGTCCCATTGCAGAACCAAACACAAGGATACATGAATCGGCTAGGTGTTTCACAGGCTGGAGGCCAACAGAACCGGCCAGGGGTCAGCATAGCCAGTCCTGCAATGACCAACATGCTCATGCATCAAAGCCGAAGTGCAACCCCACAAAACCAGCGTCCTAGTAGCCAAGGAGGGCCACAACAGCAGCAGCAGCCGCAACAGCAACAGACACAGCCG